AATTTAAGTTTGTGCCACACTGTAAGACCCTCTCCCCAATCTGGCTGTGGTTCAGCTGGCCCCCGAGGGCAGCTGGGGGACAACAGAAGAAAAGAGCACCTGGACACCTGGAGAAGCACGGTGATGCTTTCCCTGGGCACCAGTGTTCCTCTTTTGAATATGCTTTCTAAGCTTGTGGCTGAAGGGCACATGAGACGAAGATGCTAAGACATTCAAACAGGATAACCCAGAAAGACTGCAGTGCCTGCAAGAGATCCTTGTCATGGGGATCCGAGACAGGCGGGGAGGCAGCCACCAAGGGCATCCTGCTATCTACCCCAGTGCAGGGTCGGCTGGGCTCCTCTCGGCAACGCCACCGTGGTGGCACAGTAGCGGCTGAGTGCCAGTGAGCCAGGATGTGAGCAGGAGGGTGCACGCTCACAGTGCTGCAGCTGCAGCCATTTCTCAGCCTCACGCGTGTCCAGGCTGCTTCAGTGGTTTGGTCAGATCTAGTCCACATGACCCTGGGAGCCCGTAGGCGTCCCTGAACCATCCAGCCCCAACCCAGCAGCTCCTCCCAGCCCCTTCAGCGTAACTCTCCTCCAGGTTTGGCTGGTTCAGACAGATCTAATTATTTATGCAACTGTCACACAGGCAGTTGGTCGGAATGCCCTGAGTTCCGAGCCAGTTGGGCATCAAGCAGACTACTGGTCATTCACAGTGGTTACCTGATTTTTTTCCCCTGGCACATTAGATTTTAAGCATTTCTGAGGAAGAGGGCACCAAAGTGGTAGTCCCTCAAGTCCACTGTCCCCTTCCAGTGCCCTGATGACTGAGGTGCCAGTGCACTTCTCTGTAATATAGTTTTTACAAGGATGTCACAAATTCCAAGGTAACTGGCTTGGACAAGGTACTTGGGGATCTGTGCTGGTCCTCTGGACTCTACTTATGCATTTCTCCCCCCGCCCTCCCCCGCCCCGTATTTTACTTAGTGTGTTTCTACTCTAGCAAATTATCCATTTGTCTGAGTACATGCTGAATCCAGTCCCTACCCTAGAGAATTACAAAACCCACAGATGCTCTTAGAACCTTTCAACACAGGCCAACACACACACACACACACACACACACACACACACACACACGAGGGCGCAATAGATACAATCCCTTAAGAAGTCTGGACATAAGACATTAGACAGAAGCTGTATCATCTATTGAAAACACATTCAAAGAATTAAGTTAACTATCCCTAAAATCTAAATGCATGGAAAGTATGTTCTTGCACCATATCCACACAGTTACAGGACAGACTTGGCTATGGCAGCGAGAGAATGAAGAAAAGATAAACACAGACAGGTGCACACAGATATGGGGAAACTGGGTGGTCTGGGCTGTAGGCTAGAGAAACCTACACTGCACCCAGAGGCTTAGCATGTTTACAGTATCGAACAGAACAGGGAGGAGGGGTTATGGCACACAGCTGTCGAGGAGGCAGGGCTACTATATACAGACCAACAAGGAAGTAGGGTTTATGGTTTATAACTGAACAGAGACAGGTATAGCTAATCTTGGTAGGCACAGTCTCTGTAGGGGGTGGGGCATTCTTCAGGCCATAAATATCCAAAGTGGGGAAAGCCATGGGTGGGGGCAGATTCTGCACACACTGTCAATACTTGCACTTGATCCTACAAAGACAGCTTTGCTCTGCCTCTGAATCTCACTCACCCCAGGGGAAAGGCATTAATGTCTTCCTCCATGGGTCTGAGGCTCTGAGGTCTTTGACATGGCCAGCTCATATCAAGACACACATTCACTCAGGACTGCACTCACTCACTAGGGACCTTCTCCACTGCCTACATTCATAAAAGAGAAAATAAAAGATATAAGCCATAACAGAATCAACAAGCAAAATATCAACCTGAATTTTCACTCCTGACAGAGGAGCTTTTGGTAGGGTCTTGAGGTTGCTAGAGCAAGTCACTGTGTGGCGTAGAAAATCCGAAAACTGTTCACTTCATTCTGGAGGACAGAAATTCCCATGTCAAGGTGTCAGATGGGGCTCATTTGTTTGAAGGCAGAGCCATTTTCTGTGGGCATCCCACCCTGAATGTGCCCAGTCTCCTCTGAAAGCCGTAGACACTTGTCCTTGCCTCCTCATAGCTTCTACTGAAGTCCCTTGTTACAGCCTCGGGGAACCTGCCCCAAGGCTGCTCACAGGGCTTGCAAGAATGGTTGGCGAGGCTAGGACTTTTCAGCTGAGGGTTTTTAAGGAAGGAAAAAACTCACATATTCTCTCTTGTACTACCTCACCGCTCCTCTCCTCTCTCTCTCTCTCTCTCATGCTGTTCTCTCTCAGTGTTCCTCTATAGTCTGTCCTATGACATCTTTTTACAGTTTATCTATCCCAACAAACTCTTCCAGGCAATAAGAGTCACAAAAAGGTCACATTCCAAAGGTAAAGATACGTCTAAACACAGAGACATCCTGACAGCTCTAATGCAATATATCTAAGTAGCCTGTCATGAGCAAGCAAGGGGCTGTGTCTAAGCTTCTGACGATCCAAGGACACCTGCAGCCCTCACTTGGGACTACAGAGTCAAGTTTTTTTTTCTGTAACCTTGACTAGTCAGAATTTATTTTCACAAAATGAGATCAGGAATGGGTGCAAGGAATTAATCATTTGCCAGCTAGCAATAATTGGGCTGTAGCCAGATGGCAGTGGTGCACGCCTTTAATCCCAACACTTGGGAGGCAGAGCCAGGCAGATGTCTGTGAGTTCGAGGCCAGCCTGGTCTATACAGCAAGATCCAGGACAGGCACCAAAACTACATAGAGAAACCCTGTCTCAACAACAACAATAGTAATAGGGCTGTATTTGAATTTACAGCCTAGCCAGACAGTACAGCTGTGTGTCCCTTGTGAATTAAAAATTGGAAACATTTATCTAAAAACCCATTAGCAAGGCAACTGGTCTAATCTAAAGCTCTTTTGAAGCTTTGTTTCAGCTAATGATGTACAGAAACCTGTGACTTCATATCTTAGCATAAAGATTAAAGGAATTTGAGCCCAGCCTGGCTCCTGGACTCAAATGTTTTCCTAAATCATAAATCTGAGCTGTGATCTACAGCAGGTCCTAAGTGTCTCACAGTCCTCGTGGAACAAGAGGCCTTAGTTATGAAATATATCCCAGTATTATTTTTACTCATCAAAACTCTGTCAATTAGACAATACAGCTTAAGGAGAAATCATCTTTCTGAAAATCCACAGAATTAAATGCCCAGTAGTGTAGGGGGCCATCCCATCCACATTTCCCCAGGGTATTCTTGAGCAGGAGCAGCATGAAAAATTAAATAGAAAGATAGCTAGAGAGAGACAGACAGAAAACACAGGATAGCTTCAGGACGGCCTGGATCCTAATCCATCGGGCCCCTGACTGTCTCTGCCAAAGGGCTTTTATTTTATTTATTTATTTATTTATTTTTTTGGTTACAAACTGTATGGCCGTGGCAGGCTTCTTGCTAACTGTTCTTACAGCTTAAATTAACCCATTTCTATTAATCTATACCTTGCCATATGGCTCCTGGCTTACCGGCATCTTCACATGCTGTTTCTCATCGTGGTGGCGGCGGCTGGCAGTGTCTCTCTGACTCAGCCTTCCACTTCCCAGCTTTATTCTCCTCCTTGTCCCGCCTATACTTCCTGCCTAGCCACTGGCCAATCAGTGTTTTATTTATTGACCAATCAGAGCAACACATTTGCCATACAGAACATCCCACAGCACTTCCCCTTTTCTTTTCTTTTCTTTTTTTTTTTGAAAAAGGAAGGTTTTAACCTTAACAAAGTAAAATTACATATAATTTGGGAATTTGGGCGTAGCTTCTCTTACTACTTCCTGCTGGAGGGGGGTGCTGTATCTTATGGGGACACAAAGAAGATTTTAGGATTATGGAATAGTCTAATGAAGCTGTATTGTCTGAGGCAGTTGCCTTCAAACCATTTTGGATGTTGGATCATCTGGGCCATGGTGTCATCAGAGACCTTTTAGGGGGTCTTGGCTGGTCAAACCTGATGTATCTTTTTTTTTTTTTTTTTTTTTTTTTTTTTTGGTTTTTCGAGACAGGGTTTCTCTGTGTAGCTTTGCGCCTTTCCTGAAACTCACTTGGTAGCCCAGGCTGGCCTCGAACTCACAGAGATCCGCCTGGCTCTGCCTCCCGAGTGCTGGGATTAACTGATGTATCTTAATCTGGAACAAATCCATAGCCTTTGGCTTTTTGTGGGAACAAAAGCAGAGTCTCCTTTCCAAGGCAACACATCCTAACATCTAAATTTTGAAGTCAAGGTACCTTTAAAATATATATTTTGGCATAACTCAATAGCTTTTACAATCAAATGTTTTTCTGTAGTTAAAAATCCCAAAGACGGCCGGGCGGTGGTGGCGCACGCCTTTAATCCCAGCACTCGGGAGGCAGAGCCAGGCGGATCTCTGTGAGTTCGAGGCCAGCCTGGGCTACCAAGTGAGTCCCAGGAAAGGCGCAAAGCTACACAGAGAAACCCTGTCTCGAAAAACCAAAAAAAAAAAAAAAAAAAATCCCAAAGACAACAGAATCCAGATTCTCTGTGTAATATTCATCTTTACGTGGCTTATTTTTTATATTAATTTTACTGTCTCTTTAAAGACTTTATTTTTTTAAAACTATGTATTTGTTTCTATAACTCTATATATCACCTTTTTTGTCTCTTTCAAGCCTACATATATTTTACACACATTGTAAACTATTACATCTGAATCTGTCTTATTGTGAATCTATTGCTTTAAACTGCAGCAGCTGTGGCTGCTGGCTCCGCCCACCTCAGCTTCCCAACATGGCTACGTTTACCGCCAGCTCTGGGAGCTATCGTGGGTCTATGCTTTCAGCCAAGCAGCGTGTAGCCCAGAAACCTCTTTTTTTGTTTTGTACTAGCAAAGGCTAAATCCACCATGCAGCTTAATGTGCCACTTGCAGAGGCCTCATTCCCGCCGTATGGCGGCAGGTTGAGCGCACACTCCAGGAACCCACCAGTAGCTCAAACCAGCAGCTACCGCTCATTTGAGAGAGACAATTAGGAACTGTTTTTAGCTTCGTTTTAGAATCTTTTTTCTCAGTTTTTAGGTGGAAACTCTTGCCACCACATTTGATGCCATTTGTAGCTGGAGTTTTCCTGCCTGGCCCACAGTCAGGACAAGTCTCTCTCACCTGTCAGTCCCACAGCCGTCAGACCCGACCAAGTAAACACAGAGACTTATATTGGTTACAAACTGTATGACCATGGCAGGCTTCTTGCTAACTGTTCTTACAGCTTAAATTAATCCATTTCTATTAATCTATACCTTGTCACGTGGCTCGTGGCTCACCGGCATCGTCACATGCTGTTTGTCCTCGTGGCGGCTGGCAGCGTCTCTCTGACTCGTGGATTCACCTGTCACAGAGCTCCCTCCATTTTTGTGTCCGGGTTTTTTTTGTTGTTGTTTTTTGTTTTTCGAGACAGGGTTTCTCTGTGTAGCTTTGCACCTTTCCTGGAACTCACTCTGTAGACCAGGCTGGCCTCGAACTCACAGAGATCCGCCTGGCTCTGCCTCCCGAGTGCTGGGATTAAAGGCATGCGCCGCCGCCACCACCCGGCTGTATCCATTTTTCATTTGCAAATGACTCCACTCTTTTTAATTCCTTCGTGTACCCAGGACACCAAGTGTAGGCAGCAGCTGCGTCTCGGCGACAACTGGTGGCCTCCATCCACCCGAGAGCCCTGTGTCCCCACCTGGGAGGCTCCAGAGCAAGAAAAATGCACTGATATCTCCTGTTTTCCTCTCTGACTCCCTGAAGGTCCTGATGGAGATGGTTCCTTGTGAGGAGGAGGATTTGCCTCTTATGAAGGTAAAGTTGTCCTTGTCTGAGATAGAAATGTTGTTCACTTGGTTTCTGTCTGTCAATCAACTTCAAGCCTGAAACTACATACCGTGTACAGGACTTGGCAGAATTGCCTTTGCAAAGGATGGTAAAGTGCAGGTGTGTTGCCAACTGATGCCCAGTTGTTCTCACCATCTCTTACCAAGTTTGCACAGCGAGCATTTTGCTCAGCATTCCTTTCCCCCTTCAGAGAGAATATTGTATGTGCTACCCAAGACGGACTTGAAAGTGCTTCCATACAGTGCCCTTCCGTTTCCTTAAATTCTCTCTGCACTTCACTTGGGGGTCATGGCCTTCACCTCCATTTCCATCCAACCCTAGTGTCACTGAAGTGCTGTGCAAACAGGACTTGGTTTAATCCGGCCCTCTTAGTGTCTTTATTTCTGTAATGGCTAGGAGACTCCACAGACAACGACAAACATACATATTCCCAACTAACTCACACACTGAGAAAAAGTTCATGTTAAGAAAGGTTGAACTTTTTGCATGGTTGTGTCGAACAGTATCCATCTGGTGGCTCCCAGTTTCCTTTTGGATAAAATGAACGGGAGTTTGGTGAATGGAACCTGTGGTCCATTGAAGAATACAGACTATTGCTGTCCCCAGGAGCAGCTACATCATTTTGGTGGTGTGTGGATTTGTGGGCATGAGGGCGGGAAGGCCTCTGGGAGAGTCCTTGTGAATGTGTGCAGATCTGTGTGTATCCTCACAAAATAGATTCCCACAGGGAGATGGAACAGAAATGAATGGCCCAGACTAACTTAACGTGGATCCTGGCACTGATACTCGGAGGTACACCTACATTCATCACTCAGCCATGGTATCACTTGAACACCAAGGACTGGATCCTAAGCCTTTGTCTAGTAGGAGGATAGTCTGTGGGTTTTCCCAGGCTCTGCCCATCATCACAATGTGGTCACATTAGACACATTAACCAGAAGGTACATGTAGAAGCAGACACAGCTCACGTGGTTTGGTTCAGGATAGAGATTCTGACAGATTAACATCTTCCAGCACTCTGGTCCTTCTGACCCCACATGCATAGCCAATGCACATCAGAGCCCTGTTGTTGTATCTAATAACATGATGCAGATGCTCAGTTTCATTAGGGGACACACCCAAGGGCCATTGACAGACAGCTCAAAGCCAACTTGTTCCTTGTAGTCTGGGGCACAGCGTCCTTGGCCCACATCCCTGGTTCAGCCAGAGGAGGAGTGCTGGCACTTACCACATGCCGAACTCTGTGATGAACTGTCACGCTGATGGAGCTAGCTGACCTGGGCAGCCGTGACTTTGGACAGAAAAGGCAAACGGGAAGCAAAAATGTTACCTGGCTAGTCACAGTGACTTGTTAATGGTAGCACGTCTGTATTTTCAAATCATTTTTAGTTAGATATTGTCATTTCTAAATGATTAGCCAGTAAATGTAACGGAACATCTGCTTAGAATCAGATTCAGACTCTGAACTAAGGATGACGCTAATCAAGGACAAACCGTCAAGAGATACAGTACATACAGCAGCGTACGTGGATGCTATGGGAAGCAGAAGGCGGGAACTGAGCTCAGCCTCTGGGTGCAGAGGCAGGGTGGGCTGGGCCCTGACCTGCAGCAAGCCCTTCAGGCACACACATGGATAAGTTGCCTTGAGCTTATTTTTTCCTGCTCCTCTCTCCCATCTCTTCTTGCTCTGTCTTCGGGTTCCCTGAGCATCACCGCCAGTGTGCTGACATCCCCTCCGGGTCCTCCTGGCTGTCCCCGGGGTCTCGCTGGACTCCCATGCAAACCTGGGAAAGGCTCACAGTGTTTGATGAGGACGTGCTTCACAATCACTGTTCCTGGAGAAGTTGAAGCCTCATTTAACTGGGAACATCATCCCGCTGTGCCCTCTGTATCTGCTCATGGCATTTGACTGGCCAGAGTTCTTCACTGACAGTTTCCTTATTCACAAGTTGTTTTGAAAATGCCTCAAAGTTCCTTTTCCATGACCCATCTTTAGCATGAACTCTGGGCTGAAAGTTCCTCCTGAATAGGGCCTGGCAATGGCCAGAGATGATACCACATTCTGGTGGGAATCTGAGACAAGAGAAGGGCAACCAAAGTTGGCCCTGAGATAGAGGTTCACAGGCCCAAGCATCCTGAGTATAGACCAGGCACCCCTCTCCATCTTTCATCTGCTTCCAGATACCTACCATGTGGTCCTGATGTTGACACTACTGTTAAAGTATTTTTTTGTTCCAGAAACAAATGATGCTCACCTGGGATAAGATATTACTCTTTCTGGAAATTCCACCCCTCAGCCTGTGGTGCCCAGATGCAGACAGCTGTCCATCCGGGCTCTGGCTAGGCTCAGGAGAAAAGAACGGCTCCTGGATTGAGCAGTTTGTCTTCATTCTATCCCTGACATTTCTATTGCGTCTGCACACTATGCCCATCCAAAGAGTGTAGCTAGGCCTTGGCGTTAGCATCACTGAATTAGTGTCCCTAGCACCTCACAAAAAAGCTAGCCTTGCATGCATGTACCGAGGGAGGACTTGAGAGTGTGGAAGCTGATCAGGGCAAGCGAACTCTGCAATAGAACGCCAGGAAAGGGCAGGTCAGTTTTTCTCATTGTTGGACTCTCTTTGTCTTTGCGACCCAATACCATAGCTATGACAAAACGTGCTATTTTACATTGATTTAAATGAGATTAATCATTCAGAAGCTCAGCCCACTCCCCACATTTCATGCTTGTAGAGAAAAGTGCTGGCTAAAGAAACCCACCCTGACCCTGAAGTCCAGAACCAGGGAAATAAACACACCCTGGATCTGGGACCTGAGCCAGAGAAAGAAACACTTTATCCCCAAACCCAGAACCAAGGAAACATGCCCTGACTCTGAAACCAATACCAAAGAAACACACTTTGTCCCTAGAATCAGAGCCAGTGAAAGAAATATGCCCTGGCCTTAGAATTAGCGTCAAAAAGCTAAGAAAGGCCAGTGAAAAAAACACAGTTTGGCTCTGAAATCAGGGCCATCTCTGCCCCTAACCCACAAAACTAACCAATCCCTGGACAGAAAAATCTTCTCCCTGGAGAAACTCTGCCCCCGAGAGATCCTATATAAACCACCCTGCCTGTTCAGCTGTTGGCTGTTCTTTCCCACCCTGGTAGAGGCAGGCCACTCTCTGGACTCCTCCTTCCCAAATAAATCTCTTTCTCAAAGGGGTTTTGGGTGTGAAGATCTTCATTTGCCAGCACAGAGAAGAACCTTGCTAAGACATCCCTTAGTGGACTGAATACACACACACACACACACACACACACACACACAAAAAAAAAAAAAAAAAAAAACAACAACAAAAAAACCTTGCAGAGACGTTCTCTTAGTGGGGCTGAGCAAGGAGGAGCTGAACAGAAGAAGCTGGCAGAGATGTCCCTTAGGGGACTGATAAAGATGGAGCAGAAAAAGTAACTTTTCAACTGAGCATGAGGAGATTGCTAAGTTTCTGCAGGGATTTCCCCTTCAGCAGAGTGAAGCAAAAGAAGTAACATCTAGGGTCAGATAAGCAGAGCTCCGCAGGGAAGCCCCCTTAAGTGGGGGCTGAGTAAAGATCAGCTCTAGTAGCTCTCCAAGAGAGGAGCAGGATTGCTATATCCTGCAGGGAGATCATCCTCCATCACAGCAGGTATAGCCTGACTCCAGGAACAGTCAGGATACCTTTCCCTCCAGAGCTGAGCTGTCCTAGCAGCTCAAGGTATTCTCTGGCTCTGCCTAGCAGTCAGGATTCCAGCCATCGTCCCCAGTGCACAGTGAGGTGACTGTGGCTGGTGGGGGGGCGGGGATAAAGATGTGAGGAATCCCTGGGCTCTGAGACACCAGGAGCAGCGAGCACTCCCTGGACTTGAACCCTGTCCTCCTTTCCCCAAGGCCACTCCATCATGGTCACTGTCCTGGTATGTTCAGAAGTATGTTTCGTGGATTCTGAGGATTAAGAAAGAGGGAACAGAAACTGGTATGTAAATTATCCTCTGTGTTTCTCTATGTGCTTTCAATTTTTAAAATTTTGATTCATCTATATCATTATTGGGTTTTATTATGCCATTTTTATAGAAGTATCTCATTCCCATTCTAGCTCATCCCCCTTCCCCCCCCAATATGGTCCTCCATTACTATCACAGCACACACACACACACACACACACACACACACACACAGTAGCTCATATAGAAATACAACTTGGGATAATTCTTTAAATTGTATTTGATGTGAACTGTATACTTTAGTTGGTTATAATATATTTCAAATAAAGATTTCCTTCAGAAATCTTTGCTGCTTTTTTAAAGTTTTTGGTCATACTCCATGATTCCTATAAAACAATGCTGTAAACAATTTCAAGGAAGGAAAGAAAATGTTTGAAATTTTAAAAAGCACGAGGCTGGGAATATCACAATACCTAACTTCATAGTGTGTCACAGAGCCACAGGGGACAGAGTGGAGGAGCCAAAACACACCCCATGGGAGTAGTCACCCGATTTTGATGAATGTGCCCAAACACACTGGAAACAAGACAGTCTCTGCAGGTGGTTCGGGGAACTTGCACATCTACTTACAGAATGAAGTAGATGGCTGCCCCTCATCCTGGAAAAGATGAGTTCAAGGAGCCAGTGGTATGGCTCAGTGGTTTTGTAAAAGCACTAACATGCAAGCCCAAAGAGGCAAGCCCCATCCCCAGAACCCATGCACAGGTGGAAGGAGAGAATGGACTGGGGCAATATTTTGTGTACCCCCATAAAGCTTGCCTGGGGATCAGAGGACAGAGCCTGCCCTATATTAAACACAGAGCCAGGCGTGGTGACACATGCCTTTAATCCCAGCACCAGGAAGGAAGGAAGATGGCAGGGCCCAGAAAGGTATAAAAGGCGTGAGTAAACAGGAAGTCTCTCTCTTGAGGCTGAGGATTTTGTGGAAGTAAGAACGTGGCTGGCTTGTCCTGTTTCTCTGATCTTTCAGCTTTCACCCCAATATCTGGTTCTGGGTGTTCTGTTTTTTTTTTTAATAAGACCTTTTAAGATTCGTGTCACAACTGACTCCACAAAATTGTTCTCTGACCTCCACCATGTACCACAGTGTGGGTCTCCCTATGTCATCCGCACATGCACAGCAACAGCAAAAATAGTCAAGAAGGGGTCAGAGACCTCCATGTAAGACAACAGACTTTGTGAAGGAGAAACATGGGGAAGGCACATCAAGAGACAGGGACGGACGAGGAACCCCCAGGGAAGACTCTTAATGGTTCGGGGAACGGCAACAAGGATTGTCAAATGGGACAGCACGAAACTTAAAAAGCTTCTATACAGCACAGGAAGCAGCAAAACAAGCAGCAAGACAAGGCACTGATTGGGAGAACGTCTTTGCCAGCTATCCACTCGATGGTGGTACACACACACACACACACACACACACACACACACACACACACCAATATATGAAGAATTCCGGGGACCCTCGAAACCCAGATGATCTAAGTGATAAACGGGCAGATGAAACGAAGAAACACCAAATGAAGCACACATGACCAATAAAGGTACGAAAAATGTTCAACATCCTTCACCATCCTGGAAACAGGAATCAAAACTGCACTGGTATCCCATCTCAACCCAGTCAGGACAGCTATCCACAAGAAAGCAAAGCACTGTGAATGCCAGCAAGGATGCAAGATGGAGACACATTTGCACAGCGCTCGTGGGGATGGAAGTGCAGTCACTGTGGAAATCACAGGGAGGACCCTTGAAAAATTAAGACCAGAACCATCATGCAATAGAACTAGATCCGTCCTGGGAATATCCCCAGGAATCCAAGTCAGCATGCACAGAGAGACCTACACAGCCGTGAATGTGGTCCACTATGCACATCAGCCACATGATGGAATCAGATGTCCATTCACAGATGAACAGATTTGGAAAATACGGTGTATATATACATAGAAGTTTATTCAGCCTCTTTATAAAAAAGAATGAAACTGTATCTTTTGCAGGAAAATGGATGGAAGTGGAGAGTCTCATGCTTTCTTGCATGTGACACACACACACACACACACACACACACACACACACACACACACTTCAAACATACTAGTCAGAGAAAGTGAGTAGAAAAACCAGGTGTGATATTGCACATCAGCAATCCCAGTCTTCAGGCGGCTGAGACAGGAGGATAACCATGAATTCAAGGCCAACCTTGAGTAAAGAACTATCGCCTGTCTCTCAACATACACACACACACAAAAAAAAAAAAATTGGTGAATTATTCCTACTAGTAACTGTATCAAAGATGCACAGTTCAAAAATTCTAGATAACATCAATCAATACGTACTGCAGATTTATGGAAACACTTTTTTTTTTCTAAGACAGTGTCTCTATGCAGACCTGATCAGCCCGGAACTTATATGTGTCACAGGACAGCCCAAACTCAATGGCAGTGTCTTAGTCACTTTTCTACTGCTGTGACAGGACACCATGACCAAGACAACTTATAAAAGAAAGCATTTGATTTGGGGCTCATGGTTCCAGAGAGTTAGAATCCATGACCGTGGTGGTAGGGAGCATGGCAGCAAGCAGGGAGGCATGGGAGCTGAGAGCTCACACTTGCTCTACAAGCACAGGCAGACAGAGAGCTAACTGAAAACGACACCTGCTTTCAATACCCCCAAACCCACCCCCCAGTGACACACTCCTCCAACAAGGCCACCCCTCCTAACCCTTCCCAACAGTTGACCAACCGGGGACCAAGAATTCAAATATATGAGCCTACAGACGCCACTCTCTTTAATCCACCACAGGCAGTCCTCCTGGAAGTCAGTCTCCGATGTTGTTAATAGAAATATAATCAGCATAGTTCTTTTCCTCAAATGTCTTTTTAATTCATTTTCTTAATATCGGCATCTTCGCTATCTCTTCATTCCCCTTCTCAACATGTAATGACTTCCCTACAGGTGCTGGTCTCACATGAGTCCTAGAGAGTCAGTGTCGGTTAAGGCCCTAGACAGGTCCCACCTTTTGACATAAGTGACATGCTGTTGTCAAATAAAGTTTTGTTTTGTTTCCTAATCACACGGACACGCACACACTCGTATTTTCAGTAAGTTTATGATTTTGGGTGGGGGCACACTCATAGCTGTCTCCCACCTCATGTGGCCAGTGGCCCACAGGTTATACATGTCTACCAGGCTGCTCAGCCTCTTATTGGTAAGAATATTTGGGAGTAGCCAGGTGGTAGTGGCGCATACCTTTGATCCCAGCATTCAAAGGGAGTTCCAGGACAGCCAGAACTGCTACACAGAGAAACCCTGTCTTGAAAAACAACAACAACAACAAAAGAGAGATAATTTGGGAAGTAGAATGAGGATGATACTTAGCTTAAGCGCTCATAGCAAAGCCTAGAAAACTCTGGTTTGAGATGTTAGCCCCTCCGGACACTCGTACATGTATTCTGTCTCACGTCTCCTTTAGGAGTGCCTTGATGCAGTTGGGGCAGATGATGATCCCTGTTCCATTGCTTTCAAGACTGGATGGGAGAGTGGAGTATTTGCCTGTCTTTAGAAACAGTTCTGCCTTCCCCGCTGGTTTGTTGGGGAGGAAACACATAGAAGGGGGTTCCCATAAGTTACGCCACTGTAATCGTGGAAAAGTAACCACGTTTACCTGAATACACCAGCTGTCTGCACACATTCGGGAACAACGGTTGATATTTCAGCTGAGGAGTTGAACCTCTTTTTTATTCTCAACATGTTCTTTTTGTTTGTTTGGTTGGTTAGTTGGTTTTGTTGTTGTTGTCGTTGTTTTGTGTTTTGAGACAGGGTTTCTCTGTATAACAGCTCCGGCTATCCTGGAACTTGATTTGTAGATCAGGCTGGCCCTTGAACTCACAGAGAGCTGCCTGGCTCTGCCTCCTGAGTGCTGGGATTAAAGGTGTGCAACACCACCGCCCAGCAAATTGTTAGGATAGTTCCCATCCTTCTTTCATCATATTTCCGTGATCAAGGAAAAAAATAGTGGCAGACATTCTTTACTCACTTGTTTTAATAAACACGGACAGGAGTGGAGACTGCCTGCTGGCTAGCACCAAGTTCAAGCCACAACATAAAAGGGAAAAACAATGTTAAGCACAGTATATAATACCGTGTGGGTCTGGGATCCAGTTTTTGAAACAAAACACATCATCTTGCATGACACACGCGGACATGTGAGACACTTCCCACGTGGCACTACAACAGCATCCCATAAAAAGGCAGGTGCTCTGAACATTCTATAATGAATGGTCACCGTGGCAACGTGCGTACGCACGTCTGGCCTTCCAACTGTCTCTGCGTACTGAACGGTTCACGTCTGAGAGCAGTGCAGACAGGTTTTAGGTTGGTACCTAGAATTCTCTTGAGATGGGAAATCTGAAATGCTGCTACAGAGGTATGCCCACTCACCTCAGAGGAGCCAGTTTGGTGTCACATGATGTATTTCCCCTGCGTGTCACCGTCCATTTCCAATTTCCTACCGACTTTAAAGTTCGTTTTTCATATTACTTGACACGTATTTGTAGTTCTTCTCTCAGACTGGCTGACTTAAATGTTTTACTAGTAGTATTAGTACATTTCCTGCTTCCAGCTTTTGTACAGTCTCCTGGAGAGTGGGCACAGGACAGCATGGCCACCCGGGGGAGAATCTTGACACTCAACCTAGCCATAGACACTCCATGAAAGGACAAGAGAAACTCTTCTCGATATCCAAATTCAGGACTGGGGAGACGGCTCAGTGGGTAAAGAGCTCATAGCAAGCCTGACAACTTGAGTTCAGATCCCCAGATCCCCGTGTAAAAGCTGAGCAAAGTCGTGCCAGTGTGTGTGATCCCACCGTACCCGCCCCTACTGGGAGTGTAAGGACCAGCGAGCTTGTAGTACACAGCAGTGAACAAGAGAGACCCAGGCTCAAGTATGAAGGCAAGGTATGACACTGGAAATTGGCATCTGACTTCTGCACACATACCATGACATGAGAGAGAGAGAGAGAGAGGTGCTCAGAGCCAACATCATATTATAGCACTCAAATTCCAGAGTTGCTAGAAGGAAACTAAGTGGGATTTCTGTGGAGACGGGCTTCAAGCTGTCTGGGAGTTGCTGAGACACTGGTGACATGGTACAGTGCCCTAAGTTCAATGAGGTACTTACTTAATGATGGAGGCAGAGAGGGCTTGGCTGGCATTCAGAAAGTGTCCTGTGTGGCGTCACAGGCTGTAGCTAAGATACAACACGTCCACTCTGCTCCCGTGAGTGGGCTGTGAGTAGGAGGTGTGGCCACTGCTCATTCTCTTCCAAGCCTTCGTCTAGATGCTCAAACCAGATGACATGGGCACATACTGACTTCCTCCACTGAGCCCCTGCCACTTTAGGCCCAAGAGGACTTCAGGATACCACATAGACAAGACAAAAAACAAAACAAAACAAAAAAACAAAAAACTTCCCCACACAGAACAAAGAAAGGCTATTGGAAGCTGCAAGAGAAAAAGGCCAAGTAATCTATAAAGGCAGGCAACAGTAGAGCAACAGGTGATTGGACAATAGACACTTTGAAGCCAGAGTCCCTGGAGAAATGGATTCAAGCTCTTAAAGACCACAACTGTCAACCGGGACTATTATACCCAGCAAAACTATCTGTTAAAATTGAACAAAACAAAATAAAAACTCTCTATGATTAAAAAAAAATAATCAGAATATAAGAATTTATGATCGCTAAGCCAGCTCTACAGAGGACACTGGAAGGACTAGAGAAAAGGACACACACACCCAAGGGGCCGCACGGGACAAACAGCACTGGGACAGTGAATCAAGAGGTCTGAGGAAACACCGTAAACTCAACAAAACGACAGAAACCAAGACCCAACTTACAGTGACAACTCTGAATGTCAATTGTCTTAATGTCCCACCCAATTGGTGCTTTTTGTTAAGGACAGTCACAGACTGAACAGTAAAACCCCAGAACTTGGGCTGGGGAAATGGTTCAGCAGTTAGGGGCATCTTCTGTCCTAGGGTTCAGTCATCAGCAACACATCAGGCAGCTCACAACCACCTCTAACTCCAGCTCCATGAGATCCAACACCCTCTTCTGTACACACACACACACACACACACACGATTTTTTTTAAACAACATATTCCTAAAGTCCACCTGTAACATGGCCTTCTCAGTGTCTGCCAACCACAGGTCTACTCTTACCTCACGGAGATCCATTGGTTTTTGTTTTTGTTTTTGTTTTGTTTTGTTGGTTGGTTGGTTGGTTGGTTGGTTTTATTTTGTTTTTGGCTTTTGGAGACAGGGTTTCTCTGCATAGCCCTGGCTGTCCTGGAACTCACTCTATAGACAAGGCTAGCTTTGAACTCATGGGGATCCGCCTGTCTCTGCCTCCTGAGTTCTGAGATTAAAGGCGTGCACCACCACTGCCCAGTGAGTCATTTCTTAACATCCCACATGTGAGATGGAACAGACTTTGCTCTGTATCTGGCTTATTTCACTCTATGTGATGTCCTCTAGTTCTACCCCATGTTGCCCCAAATTACACAATTAACCTTCACCACAAACAGTAATGTGTAAGTCATGTTGAAAATGCTATCATTGGATGATAAACATATTTCATAACAGACTTGCCTCAAATATGCAGTTATTATATGCCAGTCAAGACAGTGTTTTACTATAAATAACTATTAAAATTTAGCCAATGTACAATGTCAACAATTGTCTTCAACCTCTTCTGTCTCCTAGGTTGTTGCATCCCAGATGAAGATGTTCCTCAGAGGAAGAGACATTTTGTCCATGGAACAAGGATCCGCTTGTGGCCACCCAGCAGGGTGGAGCCCACATATCCCAATGACGGTGTGTGAAAATTCAGTCCTTGAATCAATAATGACTCTATATAGTCAGTGTTGTGCATTTCAGAGAAAACTGTAACTGTGTTAGGTCACACATTTCTGTGTTCGATGAATGTAAATTCAGTCAATCACTAGTAACCTCAGAAACAAACACCTATTTACAACAGTATGTACCCTGGGTTGGTCTCCAACCTCTGGATAGCCTCCTACCTCAGCTTCTCGAGTGCTGAGGATACTTGTGTGCCTCACCACAGCTGGGTTTTAATGTGGATTTTTCAGCGACATCATTTGATGACAGCCAATGTTCAGTTCAACTGGGCCATCGTTTTTGTTCTTGCTGGGTCAGTCAGTACTGTTTAAGGGTTAGTGGAGTCTTCCTCTCTGGCACTGCATTCATCTGTGCCACGCTGCAGGACTTTCTAGTACCTTCCATTTCCTTCTGGGTTCACTCCTTTTTCTTCTTTGACCCACAAAGGAGCGTGTCCCAGCAGCAACTGAAACCACATGTCAATGGGCCCCCTCCGCCCCCTCCAGCTCTGTGTCCACACCACACAAGTTCTTGAGTCTCTCGTCAGTAAGGCCAGTGGACTGACAGTAGCCTGCTTCCTACCAGTTTCCAACAGGGTCATCATGGAGGTAGTCCCCTGTGACTTCTCAGAAGAGGATGAGGAACAGTCTATCTGGAAGGTAAGATGTGTCCTCCTTTGTCTGAGGTAGACACGTTGTTTTACGGATTTCCTTCTTTGGGGATCATGGGTAGGTAGACATTAGACATTAAACTCTATACACAAAATCTCCTTTCTGGAGAAATGCCAAGTGCAAGTCTGTTGCCCACTGATGCCCAATTCAAGACGATCTTCCTAAGTATCAGTATCAGCTACCAACGGGAGCCAGCTCTTGTCTAACTTCACTTTAGGGACGTTGTGTAGATCACTGTTCCCCATGCAGTTTTCTAATGCCACCATAGTGAACGAGAGACCCGAGCAAACAGGACTGGGTACGATCATCTGATCCTTACGTCATTCTCCTTTCTGTGACTACAGGTGGAATCCTCAGACAAGGAAAACAGTAAGTGTTCCAAACTCATATGCTGAGGTCATTTTAAGTACTACAGAGGGATAGATTTTCCTTGCCTGTTTTTGTTGAGAAATCCATCCTGATTATAGATCCCGGTTAGAAAGGAGAAATGGGCTATAGTGAACAGAGTTGGTGATGCAAAGAGAAGTTAGGACCGTCTGCAACTTCTGGAAGCAGCTATATTATTTTGGTAGTGTGTATTTGTGTACATGAGGGTTGGAGGTGGAATAAACCCCCACACTCCAAAACAAACAAGACAAAAACAAAGTGCACACTTCACATAAGTTTTTATTCCTTCAACCCAAGCATGGCTTAGTGTCAAGATCAGTTTCATACATGCAGAGAGACTGCAGAGCTGATTGGTCCAGGCTCATGGCTCTGTATGGTCAGAGGCCAAAGAGGAGCTAGGCGTGAGTCCCAAGGTGGATGCTCTGAGCTCCAGACCCATAGTCTAGTCCAAGTCATGGGATCTGTAGTCACCATGCCCGGGTGTTTAAGCTCAGGCAACCACCTGGTGCGATTCCACCCTATGGAGCTCCCAACACCGCCCATCACTGGAAAACAGCCACAGTGTTCACACAGTCCAAGGCTGCAATGCTGCATTCAAAAGCACACACGGAGGGAGGCCTGCAGTGCTGGGGCACGCCTTTAATCCCAGCACTTGGGAGGCAGAGGCAGGCGGATCTCTGTGAGTTCAAGGCCAGCGTGGTCTACAAAGTTAGTTCTAGGACAGCCAGGGCTACACAAACTCTGTCTCAACGCCCCCCCACCCGAAATAAAAAGCATACACAGAATTCATTAATGTGAAATTTGAATAGCCCCCGTGGGTAGGTGAGGTACCTTTAACACAATGTAAGTCAACATCTGCCAAGGCTGCGTGAGCTCTTCCTCATCCCTTGCTCACAGCAGATAAGCATCTTGGAGTTATTTGACTGTACTTAATGAGATGATCATCTAAACCCTTACAGACACTCAAATTCCCTAGCAGGCATGTCTAAAAGACCTTGGAACAAAAAGTTCCAACTGGCTGTTACTCTTGAGTCCAGCTCCCTTGTAGCACACCTGTGGCATACCTTAGATAGGGAGTGGAGCCACCACACACTAACTAAGCTGAATTGTCCCCCTGTGGGAGCCTCATGTGAGCTCGTCAGCCATCAACCCCGTGGGTCCACTGCACCTTCTGTACAAAAGGAAGACAAGGAAAATTGCCATACCTTTGAGGTGGTTATTTGGAAATGACAGCCTTTCATTGTTTCCATAGTTAGAAATTATCTCAAAAAGAATTCCATTCTCTTTACAGACTTTTTTTTTTTTTTTTTTTTGGTTTTTCGAGACAGGGTTTCTCTGTGTAGCTTTGCGCCTTTCCTGGAACTCGATTTGGAGACCAGGCTGGCCTCAAACTCACAGAGATCCGCCTGGCTCTGCCTCCCGAGTGCTGGGATTAAAGGCGTGCGCCACCACCGCCCGGCAACAGACGTTTTTTTGTTTTGTTTTGATATAAGACATCACTTTGTAGTCCTGGCTGGCCTGGAACTATGTAACCTTGAACACACAGATTTACCTGCCTCTGCCTCCTGAGGGATAGTATTAAAGGCGTGCACCACCATACCTGGCAAAGGTCACATTTTTGTCTAGTAAACGAATCCTTTAGGAAGAGGATACCCACAGAAGCAAACGGAGATCTGGGGAAGAAAAGGTCCCAGAAGTTACCGAGAAGATGATGGCAGTCGAGGTCAACTACTTACAGGACAGAGGAGGCAGGGGACTAGGTCCCTGGGGCCCAGCATACGCTTCATGTTCATCCTGTTTAGATAGTGTTACATGCTAGGATGCCTGGAGAGCTGGATTTCCTGCCTCCCACTCCCCCCTCCTCCTCCTGCCCTTGGCCTTCTGTCTTTGCCCAATCCCTGTCCACGGATGCTCTTGCATGATCCATGAGCAGCAGCCCCAGGAATACTGACGGTGCCTCCCTCTCTTCCTAGTAATCCTGGAGACCCTGAGGGATCACTTCCATCATCACAGAAGATCAGAGGAACCCATGGAATACTCTAGTAGGTTGATTGCATCTGTGTAGAATACAGAAGTAGCGTTCTAGCAGGTGGTGTTTCCAACGGTATCACAATACGATTGTGAGAACACAGACACATGGCACAGCACAGACAGACATGCCAATGGGATTTTACGGGAGTGGCAAATGTCACAAAATGTCACAAACATTCCGTAGCAGCTTAGTCCTGATACATCTCTTTCCTCACTAGAAGACCGTTTTGCATTAGCCAACAGTAACACAACAGCAGACATCATTCATGAACACCTCAGGTTTCTTTTTTTTTTTTCAGTTTTGTTGTTATGTGTATTGGTGTTTTGCCCGCGTATCTGTCTATTCACTATGTGCATGCAGTGCCCACAGAGGCCCTCAGAGAGTCTTGGATCCCCTGGAACTTGCATTACAGATAGTTACGACCTGTAATGGTACCACTACGTGGGAGCTGGGAATTGAACCTGGGTCCTCTGGAAGAGCAGCCAGTGCTCTCAACCACTGAGCCATCTCTCCAGCACCACCTGGTGTTTCTCGACAGGAGTAGATTTGCACCATGCCCTTGGATTCCCTTGAATTGACCACGCTTTCACATCTCCATGTCTGTGTCCCTGTGTGAACAGAACCCACTTCACAGGACATAGCACAGGCTGATCTCCATAATGATCCCTCTCTCTGTTATTTATGGGTCAGTGGTCAGTGCAAGGGGAAATGGAAAGAGAGAGGTACAGCACAATCCCTCACCCGCTTCGGGACAATCTAGACGAAAGAAGGGTGGGAGTGTCCTGCTGGCTCAGTGTGGACAGCCAACTTGATTTAGCTTCCTATTATGACTGTTGAGGATCAGATGAGAAGTATGACCAACCTCTGCACTCCATGAGAGCAATGGTGCTCCTTTTAGGTGGTGTAGGGTTGGGCAATGGGGGCATAGTGTGTCTATGTGTGAATCCATGCGTTACAGCCCAAAGGTCCCTCTGTGTGACTTCATACACATTTGGTTGTTTAGCAAGTTTCATTCCAAAACAAAATGTGATCCCCATGGGAACGTGACTGTATATTACAAAAACGGGCAGGACAAACACAGGAGGAAGCTTCCACACACGAGCAGCCTCCCACCGACAGACATTCGAAAGGTGCTCAGGAAACCTAAAAGGTTATCCTAAATTGTATATGCATGCAGTTCTTTGATGTCACACAGACCTCAAGGAGCAGCAACCACAAAAATAGAACCCATTCACTCAAAGATGTTCACTCGGTTCTCAATGGTCAAGGTGTGCTTCACAACTGTGGTCAAAAGATAAATACCCTTATTGCTCATTAATGAAGCTTTAACGTCATTAGCCTCTGAATAAGATCATAGCATTTGATTGGCGAAGATTTTTCACACCGATCTCAATTGAAATCCTCTACTGTCACAGTACTTAGAAGCCATTTTTCCTACCACAACATAAGCATGGAGAACTGGGCACGGCCCTTTGTTAGGCGTGAGACCTCTGGTACAGCCACAGGTCACTCCGCATTGTGGTAGGAATCTGAGACAGGAGGATCGACTTCAGGGTGGCTCCTGAGACACAGGTTCCCAGGCCTAAACTCCCTGTGGTCAGGACAGAGATAGCATCTGTGGCTCACTTGCCATAGGAAGTCCCCTTTCCAACTGGTCCTGGCACACTGAAACTGGATGGAGCCTCCAAGGGTACAGCCAGTACAGCTGAAAGGTATTGGTCTCTCAGGGAGGGTAGGGCATGAAGGCATGGCTCCAATAGAGGCCAAGCTTAGTATATTGGTGGGGCATGACCCCTCGCTCCAGGTTATTACATTAGCTCTCATGTGTGGCCCTCAGAACATAACACTGAAGGCCTCTGTTACATCTTTACATTGCCACTTCCAAAAATGTTCTTCATACTGACAGGCATTCTGGTCATGACTCTGACAACAGGACCAGAATTTCTCCTTCTCTATCAGCTCAGCTCTAGACAACAATCACACTCCTCATGAGCATCTCCTGAGCTGGGATGTTGCTCACGTGCAGAAAGCAGAAAGCTCCCTCCTCACCTTGTTCGGCCTACTGTGCCCTACACAGGTCCAAATGTCTACTGGCTATGACCAGCTCAGGGGTGAGGGTGGCTCCTGAAGTGAACACCTTGCCCCTTCTGTTTCCAATGCTCTCATTGCTTCTGAACAGGATGGCCCTGGGCCTTGCTGGAGTCCAGCTGGGCCTCCAAGTTAAACTCATTGATTCAGTATCCAGAGGACTTTACAGAATGCCTAGTCCTTTTGTACATGCCCAGTGAGCCTTGTAATGTGTGATGAGATGCGGCAGCAAATTCCTCTACAAGAGAGCATGAAGGGAAGGGAGGTTCGGATCTCCTCATGTTTGCCCTCTCTTTCCCATCCAACACCATAGCCACCCAAACAACGCATTATCCGAATTATATCAGTTCAAATACATAAACATCGAGAATCCCAGCCCTGTGGCTGCAGTTCATGTCTCTGGTGGACATATGTTTACAACGCAGGAGAATAATACCATCATCTCATGGGCACCTGGCCTATGTTCCCTGATCTCAGCTACTTCAACACACACACACACACACACACACACACACACACACACACACTAGCACGGCAACAGCACCTCCTGGCTTTTGTGAGCATCATCTAGGCTCATCCCAACACTTGTACATATGAAAGAAAGGGGCAGTAAAAGGTGAAGTACAGGGGAGTCAGATGTGACGGGAACTAAGCAGGGTCTGAGCACACCACAAGAACGCCACATTGGGGTGATGGCCCAGTGACCTATTTGTGACATTCCTTTATTTACTGTGTGTGAGTGTGGATGGGCCTGGGGGAGCACGTGCTGCAGCACAAGTATGGAGGTCAGAGAGCAACTTGTGGGAGTCAGTCTTCTTGCACCATGCGGATTCCCGGGGTCAAACTCAGGTCATCAGGCTTGGCGGCAAGCACCTTTCCCCTGCTAAGCCAGCTGAGGCCACATCCCACCTGAGGCCACTTCCGAAAGGTTTTGCCTCCCTTCAACACTGCTGCACTCACCGCTGGAGGGCACACCACACCTCCAAACCACACCCCACCATCACGACAAGAGACACAGAAGGAACAGGGAAGACTGTCCACTGACTGTCTCGCTGGTGTTTGTGTTTCTAAAGGTTGGCATGTCCACAGGCAGTGGGACTGGAGCAGCGACGAGGAAGACCGTGAAGGTACATGACCTCTTGGGGTAGAACCATATGGGAAAGGGTTCCTGGGAGGACTGGGGTGTGTGTGCTGCTCTGGGGACTATGAGAGGGGACAGGCAGGGAGTAGAACCAGACAGCAGAGATGCCTACCGTCTTTCCTTGTTTTACGGTGCAAGAATCAGTGCTCGCTGCTGCGAGCATCTTTTTTTTCTTTTCTAATTGACACTCACCCTCTCCACAAGCCCCGCCTCCCACTGTTCTGTGCAGACACTGCCACAGTTGACTGTGATTGTGGGCCATCTGCTGGAGACGGTGCATACGATATTTGGTTTGGGGTTCATGTTGACCCACAGCTTAAGGAATCGAGAGACACAGGTCTCACTCTCAGGCACGACATGGGTGGTGGGAGAGATGTCCACCTCCTTTGTTGCTCTATCAGGCCTCAGAACTTCAGCCATTCTCTGACCTGCCTCTCACTGTACACCTTTTTGTATGGCCACTCCTGGGAGGGATGAGTTACAAAACAGGCCACTGGGAGGCTGGTGCATGCTCCTAAGTCCTGGAGAAGACTGGTGAGTGCATCATCACTCACGTCTCACCTCCACTCTGACTCAGTTTCCCATATTGTGGGACTAGGAGTAAACCCGGAAGATATTTCCAACAGGGACCCCAATGTCCAGTGGCCCCTTGAGCCTCTCTGAAGCAAGGCAGTCGTAACAGAGTGTGCGTGGGAAGGGGCAGCACGCCCAGGCACTCAGCCTGCCACAGGCTCAGAGTGAGGCTACGTCCAGCAGGTTCAAGGGGCTTTTATCCGATCCACCTCCGCTGCTCTACACAGAGAGCGTCCGCATCTTCTGATCCTGTCCCTTGTGCTCAGACCCGCTAGTTACCACCATCTCAGCAGCGTAAAGACTGCCTGGCCCCTTTCCTTTAGGTCACCACTCATCTGTTCTCTGTAAGAGAAGGAACAAGGGGGACCTGGCCCTCTTGTTCAGCCTGTCAATTTGTGTTTAATGTCCCTTGTCAGCGATGGAACTGTTGTGACATCCCAATGTCCACCAAGTCCCTCGGGTCATCACAGGCCCAGGATATTCATCAACACGTGTGTTGGGTTGTCATTCTACTGCAGAAGACAGACACAACTCCTGGCCCTTGACGGGCACACCTGTTTATAAAGGCCATAGTTAACTGAGTGGTTAGGGAGGGGACAATATATTCCAGCTCTCTCCTCCAATCTCCCCGCATTGGAGAACTCCATGGGAGCAAGGTTACAGAGGAGAGAGAAAACTGGCAGCAATGATTGAGATGGGCAGTGTGAGGCAGCACCCAGGGGTGGGGGTGGGAGAGCCACTGCCAGGCACAAAAAGTCATGGAGACTGTGCCAGCCTCTAGGAAGAACAGAACACCGGCACTGCCCCTTGACATTATGGTGGAGTCTGGGTTGGAAAAAGATCACCAGAGCCTGTCCTGAGTGGCCAGGTAAGGGGACGAAGACCCCGGGACAGGAGCAGAGGGATGAGGGACTGAAGTCCGAGGTAGTGCAGCAGAGGCCCGGATCCTCACCCTAGACTTGAACTCCCTCCTCCTCTCTCCAAGGCCACACCATATCTGTCACTGCCCTAGTACACGCGGAAGCATGTTTCTCTGACGCCAAGGATGAGAAGGCAGAACCAGCCATTGGTATGTAGCTCCTCTTATTTTTGTCTCTGATTTTCTTACCAACTCTTTTTTTTTTCCCCCCCAAAACAGGGTTTCTCTGTGTAGCTTTGCACCTTTCCTGGAACTCACTCTGTAGCCCAGGCTGGCCTTGAACTCACAGAGATCTGCCTGCCTCTGCCTCCCAAGTGCTGGGATTAAAGGCGTGCACCGCCACCACTGCCTGGCTCTTCCCCATCCCCCCATCCCATGTTTTCTGACTTTCCTGTGATGGGTCCCAGTCTGGTGCCTATACTTGTAGTCCTTGAACTTCAGCATACGTTCAATTTCCTGGCCCTTCACCCTCTTTCCGAGCCCAGGCTCAGTTTCCTTTTCTCTGTTTGGTGATGTTATACGTAGAACCCAAAGTCTCATCCGTGCTGTGCCATTAATCTCCAGTTCTAGTCCCCATGGTCTCTGAAAGTCATAGGATAGACAAGGTGGCGGCGTTACATGACTATCAGGCACAGAAAGAGAAACAAGCAGCTGTCCTTATTTACCCTGAGGGTCTCAGGATGGACCAGAGAAAGCGAAAGGGTCATGGTGAGGGAAGGCAGGTCATGGTGTGTGGGGTGTTTACCCACCAACCCCACAGCTCCCCAGAGTTTCCTTGAGTGTGAGCAGCAGGAAATATTAAATAGAAGGATTTATTGCAGAGATAAACAGATAGAAAATGAAGGATAGCCTTGAGAAGGTCTGGAACCTTTTCCAAAGGGCCCTGACTATCTCTGCCCCAGGGTATTTATAGAGACGCCAAGGGGTGGAGCAAAAGACCTCCCCCCCCAGCACAGCCAAGTGCAGACCATCCCAGACACCTGCACTCAGGCCCGTGGTCCTAATCATCCTCTATGCGGACCTGCTGGGTAAAGCCACGAGGAACCCGAAAATGGGCTCCCACAATGGTGCCACTCTCTTATCAGAACTAATGATCTCCAATGGGATTCAGCCTGCTCATCCCACCATCCAAGGGACAGCCTATCCTCAGGCTCAGGTTTACTGTGTTTCAGGATGCCGTGATGACGTCTGCAAGGAGATGGAACTGTGATCGTGAGGACAGAGGCTGCAGCTCTCACCCTGTCCCCTTTGTGGAGGGGATCACTCGAATCGTTTAGACTTAGCGTTTTTTGTACATATGTTTGCTCCTTTTCATTGTCGCAAATGCTCTGTTTTGAACGTTGGCTATTTAACCCTGTAAATACGTTTCCTCTATATTGGTGTATATTAATATATATTGTATATCAAATGAAAGTTGATTCCTGCCAGTCTGTAGTAAAACCTCTCTTGTAGTGTAAGCATCACTAAAACAAATCCCTAAAGAGAAGTTGATCTCCAACTTAGTGACCCGCCATCACTCCCTTGAATAAAGCGTTTTTTTTTTTCCAAAAAATCAGCAAAAAAAAAAAAAGTCATTAAGAGAATGATGTTAAAGCATGAAAGGGCATCATTAATCAGAACGAGGGAAACTCAGAAATGGGTGGACAGACGCCAAGGGAGGAGCAAACAGTGAGGGGGCACTTCGGTGATGACTCTGGGAGGACTCCCTGGGGAGTGCTCCTTCCAGGGAAAAGAAGGTGAGAGAGGGCAAGACTCCGCACACGCTAAGGGAGAGGGGTGGGGCTTATTTTGGCTCATGGTTCCAGAGGGGGAGAGTCCATCGGAGAAGGGAGGTCTGACAATGAGCAGGAGGCCCGGTGGCAAGTGACAGATGAAGGGTTCCTGATGTAAAGTAAGGAGTCTCAGGCAAGCGGAGGAACTCCTGAGCCTGAGGCTGGTGGCCTGCCTGACGAGAAAGCTAAGGTAGCAAGGAGAACACCCACTGGCATCCTTCAGCCTTGGGACTGTAAATACATCATCCACTGGTAAAACTCTCCTCCCCGGGTATAGAGCAGCGGTTCTCAACCTTCCGAAAGCTTCGACCCTTTCATACAGTTCCCCGTGTTGTGGTGACCCACCCACCCCCCAGCATAAAATCATTTCCCTTGCTACTTCAGAACTGTAATTCTGCTCCTGTTACCAATCATAATGTCAACATCTGAGCTTTCTCACGGTCTCAGGCGGCCCGCCAAGGGGTCGTGACCCACTCGTTGAGAACCGCTGGCGTAGAGGCAGGACTACAGGAAATTACGCGTTCCGGAACGATCTAGCCCGTGTCCCTTTGTTCAGAATGATAGCAAAGTCTCACGTGGCGACGAGAACTTGGTGGAAAGAAAGCAGAAAAACCACCACCACCACCACCACCACCACAAAAAAGCCCCAGGTGTGCTCACTAGGGATTCCCGACGGTGCAGGAAGGCAGCCTCAGCGCTGAATAGGGGCGGGCGAGCAGCTCCAGGATGGAGCACCATTCCTCACCATTCAAGCCCCACTTCAGCCGCTCTCATCGGCTTACAACATCTGTGCAATGGGCCCTTTTCCTCAGGGAGGACTCAGCTCAGTCGGACACCGAGGGGCCAAAAAAGTGAGGAAATTCCTCAGAAAAGCGACGCCCTCCTCCCACAGACGCCGCACAGCCGGCTCCTTACCCGTCTCCTCGTGCAGCAGTCCTCCCTGACAGGACAGGCCGGCCACCACCTCGGAACAGAGCACCCAAAAGAGCACGGGGAGCGCCCAGCCCCGCCCCCGTGCCCTGCCTGGCCAATCACAGCAGCAGCGCCCGGGCCACGCCCACTCCCAGAGGCCGCTGCGGCTTCCCACCTTTTTCCTGCTCCTCCGCGCCCCCTCTGGCCGGAGAGAGTACTGCAGGTCGGAGGAGCGGGGGGGGGGGGGTGGAGGGGGGGTGGAGCCCACGCTCACTGCGGTTCCCACAGCTCGCTGCAGAGGGAGCTGATCACCCCAAACCCCAAACCCAAGCCATGGCTCCTCGGAGCCCACCGCAGCTCTGCCAAGCCTGTAAGGATCCTGACTTCACCCAGTGTGATTCCGTGTGTCTTGAACGTTTCTGAGGAGCGCCGTAAGCCCAGGCACTGTTTTCTGTGGCCCCGAAATCCCATTCTGAGGTACTCAGACCCCGACTAATTTCCTGTGTGAAAGCTTGAGGTAGAGAGTGTAGTTCAATGGTAGGACATACGTGTAGCATGCACTCTCTCCTAGGCTTAATGACCAGTACTAACGAATAAATACCTTTAAATCTTGCTTGAGAGTGTGAGACAGAGTAACAGTCAATGCATCAATGCATATGATTTTATTTTGAAATTACAATAACATTTTCCGATCAGTTCCAGCTTGATGATCTACTAAATGTTCTGACAAGTGTAAGCAGGCCGTTGAGAACAGCAAACTACAAAAATGCTGACCAGGTAAACAGAAGGACTGTCAGCACATAAACAAAGCCTAGCCCAGCATCGGTGGTACACGCTTTTAATCCTAGGACTTGGGAGACAGAGGCCGGTAGATCTCTGTGAGTTCAAGGCCAGCTTGGTCTACAAAGCGAGTTCCAGGACAGCCAGGGCTACACAGAGAAACCCTGTCTTGGGGAAAAAACAAAAACAAAAAACCAGAGCCTAAACTCAGTCTTCCTCAGAAACCTTGTCAAGTGAATTTCTGCTTCTCAGGAAAAGCTACTATTTCCCTTATCCACCCCCTACAGCCAACTACCTCTGCAATGGATCTACTTTCCAATGAACTCAAACAAGCCTGGAACAGATCGAAGTCCCCATGCTAGTGACCATGCTGTTCCAGCTTGTACCTCACTTCCTGCTACTCCAACTCCCAGGCTGTTCTGGTTCACACACACACACACACACACACACACACACACACACACACACATGCACACTCTCTCACACACACACATTCTCTCTCACACACTCACTTTCTCTCTCTTCACACACACACACACACACACACACACACGTACTCTCTCCTCATACACACACACACTCTTTCTCTCACACACACACTCCCTCTCCACACACACACACACACTTACACACTCAAAAACACACTCACACATAAACATATACATACACACTATCACATACACACTATCACACACTCACTCACACACATATACACTTTAGCCTATTCCTTTAAATCTAGAAAGGCTTCTTCTGCCTTTTGCTGTTTTCTCGGCCTCCTCCCCACCTCCTGAGTGACAGCCTTGGCAGTTTGATCTCCCAATAAACCTTTCTTTCTTCCTACAGTGATCTAATTCAATGGTTTCACTGCACTCTCAATTACAATAACTACTCTAAGTCACTCCACATGGTCTAAAATGATGATTTCAGGCTGTGCCTTTCCCTGGCAGACTCCATTTTGAGAATGCAGGATGATTGCAACCCTGGGCAGCCCCAGAATCTGCAGTCTGTCAGGCTCCACCCATCCAGCACAGACTGATAAATGACTTATTCCTGGGAGTAGAAAGGGAGCTGACCTATATATTTATTGGGGGGAGGGGGGAGATTGAGCTTGTGTTAAAATCTTATCAGGGAAATTAGGCCCTGGAAATCATTGGACACACCACCCCTAGGACGTAATAAAGTGATGGACAAGCCTGGTCATTATCGATAAGTTCTGCTGGTGTAATTCTTATTTCATAAGCAAGTTTATTAGTAAATCCTTTATAGCATCAGTGTTCCTACTTCAAGTATCTCCCACCTCAACACAAGCTACGGTCACCTGAGAAGAGGGACCAATCAATTGAGAAAATGCCTCCATAAGACTGGCCTGTAGGCAGGCCTATGGGGCATTTTCTTAATTGATTGATGTGGGAGGGCCCCGCCCATTGCGGGTTGTGTCAACCCTGGGCAGGTGGCCCTGCTGTAAATGAAAAAGCAGACTGACCAAGTCATGAAGAGTAAACCAACAGGCATCCATCTATGGCCTTTGCATCAATTCCTGTCTCCAGGCTCCTGACTTGAGTTCCTGACCTGACTGCCCTGCATGATGGACAGTCTGTAAAGTGAAATAAACCCTTCCATCCCCAAGTTGCCTTTTTGGTCATGGTATTTTATTGCAGAAATAGAAACCTTAACTAAAACAGGATGTATAGATGTATATTAACTGTGTGGTGTGATATGAGGGTTGATATTTGTGATGAGCATTGCCCTCCCCCAAAATGCCTTTTAGACATGAAAAAATAGCTTAGTCAGGAACCCCACTATCCCAAGGCTTCACCTGATAACCAGGACCCAGTGACACCACTCACTCAAGATAACCAGGCACAGGACTGCCTAAGAGAAGAACCTCACATTGCCCGCTTGACAGTCTATAAGCAGAGACCAAGAGCAATGCATCGCTCTTCACATCTTCAGGACAGCTGGGGACATCGGAGAGATGCCACCTTGATCGGCCCTGCAGCTGGAGAGTCTGGCCCTCAAGACTGGCTGTGACCTTCGACTAAGATATCTCCTATAGGTGAGCAGCCTTGGGGAGGTAGGCTGAGGGCGACAGGAACTTGGAGTATGTTGTTGTAAGGATGTTGTGTAATGACCCTCAGCGTTAACTATGCGTAACTATGTCTCTGCCCAAGACATATTTAGTAATTAAGATTGAATAAAAGAGTTTGAATTTGCCTCTGCCAGATCACCGGGGCAGATACGATTATCTGGCCAATTGCTACCACTGGGACTGCTGAAAAGACATATCCAATGCTCCCCACAGAGCCTGTCGGAAGACTCCTGAGCCTTCCTTCCTTCTTGTTCCTTCCTGCCTTGAAGAAAGGAAACTGGTTCTCACTTTCAATTCTCGGGAAAACCTGGTTTCGTTTCTCAGTCTGGCTAGCTGCAGAGCTGAGAAGCCGATCCCGAGGGAGGAGCAGAGCGTTGCCTGGAGACATCATTCAGCCTTTCCCCACCCTAGAAGCAGAGACAAGTCTCTCCATCCCACGGTCTCCTTCCCCAGACTTTCATCTGGGCAAGGCTGGAAACTTCTCCCTGAGCAAACACACAGAGGATTCACCCCAAGAGACAGGTTGATCCTGCAGAGATGGATCCAACCCCCGATCTGTATGGGACCCCTGGGGACAAGCTGGACCACTTCCTGGAGCACAGCCTTCAGCCCCAGAGGGACTGGAAAGAGGAAGGGCAGGACGCCTGGGAGAGAATCGAGGGGTTCCTTCGGGACCAATGCTTCCGTGATGAGCTGTTTCTGGACCAAGAAGTCAAGGTGCTTAAGGTGGTGAAGGTGAGCACAAAGGGTCCTGGGTTCAAATCCCATCTCTGCCCTGTGGAGTTTGTGACCTTGGGAGATGGGCCATTTCACCCCTCTGAGCCTCAGTCTCCTCTTCTTTAGTTGGGTTTATTATAAGCAATAAATGGATAAAGCACAGGAAAGGCTTTTGTATATAAAATCAGTCTTGCAAAGCTGAAGGGCAGAGGTGGTAGTGAGAATTTAGGATTCTCAACTTTGAGTGGACCAGTTTCCACAAAGTATGTGCCTTTGCTTCTTGCTTAAGAAATACCACTTTACCTCTGAAGCCGTAAAGGAAACCTATTGTTCTAAGTTAGTGCCCTTGGTCAAGTCAGAAACTTTCTAGCAAGGCAGTACTTGGTAAACTCAATGGGATTCCAGGGGCTGCCTGGGTAATCAATAAAGCATCTATTTAGAAAGCATCATTTCTCCCAGGAAAGCGCCAGCTTAGAACACGTCCCCTCCAACCAAGAGAGTTCGAATCAGAAATCTGAATGTTCTTCATTTTGCTAAAATGAAAGACATTTCATATCAACTGGAGTAAGCCAGGCTTTATCTGGAAACCCTGAGTCATGGCCACAGAGGTTAGGCCTGGAGACAAAGGACTTTGGGTTACGAAGAACCTAAACAGACAGCTGACACCAGAGATTAGGAAGAGCTGTTAGCAAAAGGGGTTTCAAGACGGAAACTGAAGCTCCCACAGTCGCTTCAAAAGATACAACTCGCCGGGCGGTGGTGGCGCACGCCTTTAATCCCAGCACTCGGGAGGCAGAGCCAGGCGGATCTCTGTGAGTTCGAGGCCAGCCTGGTCTACAGAGCGAGATCCAGGAGAGGCGCAAAGCTACACAGAGAAATCCTGTCTCGAAAAAACCAAAAAAAAAAAAAAAAAAAAAAAAGATACAACTCGCCCCTTTTGTATTCTGGCCCTCCAAACCTCTGACTCGGCTGCCAGCTCCCAGGTCCAGCCCTCTAGCAGCCTCTTCGCTTCTGGGATCTGAAAGAAACAACAACAGATAGAAAGTCTAGAGCTGGGTGTGGCAGGCGCCGCCTGTAACCCTGGCACTTAGGAGACTGAAGCAGGAGGATTACCAGTTTAAGACTGTCAAGTCTGGGCTACCTAGCAAGTTCCAGGCTTGGCTACCTAGTGAGGCACTGGCGGGGAGGGGACCCTGAGATTCATGCCCTCTCACCTCGTTCTGTTTGGTTTTTAATTAGATAACAGTATTGTGTTTCATTATAGCATTTTTCAAACAGTAATTTGTTTGGGGCTGAGGATGTAGCTCTGAGGTTGATATTTTGTTTCCCTAGTATGGTGGCTTACAACCATCTGTATCTCTCGTTCCAGAGGACCCACCTAGACCTTCTTCTGGCCTCTGGGGACAACAGGCATTCATGTGGTATACAGACATACATGCAGGCAAAAAAAAAAAAAAAACATAAAAAAAGTGTTTGTTTTTTAAGTTTGAGATTTCAGAACATTTGGATTTCTCAGTTTCGAACTAGGGATGCCCAACCTGCGATGCCCACAGCAAAGGTCTCCATGATGGGGACCGATGGCTTCTTTTTTGTGCGTGGTTTTTCCGAGACAGGGGTTTTCTGCCTAGTTGTGACTGTCCTGGAGCTCAGTCTGTAGATGGTAGTTGATTGGGATTTTGTTGTTGTTGTTGTTGTTTACTCGTTTGGCTCTTCAGGGGACCCACCACCCCAAATAAATCACATGAGGCTTATTCTTACTTATGAATACCTGGCCTTGGCTTGTTTCTAGCCAACTTTTCTTAACTTAAATTATCCCATCTATCTTTTGCCTCTGAGCTTTTATCTTTCTCTCTTTCTGTATACCTTTCTTTACTTCTTTCTCCATGGCTTGCTGTGTAGCAGCTGGCTGACCCCTGGAGTCTTCCTCTCCTCCTCTTTCTCACTCCTCAATCTCTCTTCCCAGATTACTCCTCCTATTTATTCTCTCTGCCTGCCAGCTCCGCCTAGCCTTTCTGTTGCCTCTCTATTGGCCATTCAGCTCTTTATTAGACCATCAGGTGTTTTAGACAGGCACAGTAGTAACACAGCTCCACAGAGTTAAACAAATGCAACATAAAAGAATGCAACACATCTTTGGATCATTAAACAAATATTCTACAGCATAAACGAATGTAACACATCTTAGATTAATATTCCACAACAGTAGACCTTGCTGGCCTCAAATTCATGTAGATCCGCCTTCTTCTGACCCTGAGTGTTGGGATTAAAGGCATGCACCACCGCCATCTGGTCAAAGGCTTCCCTCTGCAAGTTCCCTATACGAGGGTTATATAGGGTACTTACCACCGATGCTTTGGGTGTACCTCTCAACCTCAGAGCACCGAATCTCAAGATAGGTCAATTTAGCACTGTCCCCTCCACAGGGAGGCTCCTCGGGAAAGGGGACAATGCTGAACCACAGATCTGACCAGGACATAGTTCTGTTCCTGAGCTGCTTCTCCAGTTTCCAACATCAGGCGAGACACCGAGAATTCATCATCGACTTCATTGAGGACAAGCTCCTTCACTGCAGGAGGAGCCTGGCGTACAACATCACTGTGGTTAAACACAAAGAGGGGAATCGGACCCCTCGCTCCCTGACCTTAAAGGTCCAGCCCAGGAAGAGTGACTGCATTATTCGGATGGATGTTCTCCCGGCTTATGACGCTTTGGGTAAATCCTGTGGTGGGTCAGCTTCAGAGAGATGGCTCTGGGGTCTCTTCCTTCTGGAAGAGTTTAGAGAAAGTAGAAACCAATGGAGTTTGCTCTTTAGTGGGTAGGCAAGACTGGAAATATACCGTGAAGATCCCATAAATGCATGGGTTCCCGTGTACCAGAGTTGCATGGGCAAAGAGAATTCATCAAAACGATTTCCTACCCACCCTCTGGAAAACACCAGATCAAACAATCAGTCTAAGGTCTTTGGAGTCAGACAGAACTGGATTAGAATCATCTTTAAAACAAGATTCTCATATCTTCACATTTTATAACTTGTATTACCTTGGGCTAACAACTTAGCACCTCCGATGCAGCATACAAACTTAGTGGGTGCAATAATGTTAAGGAGAGTCATGGGGACGGACAGTATTTGCCCACATTTGAGTTACAAAAATGGCAATTGCCCATGGTTGCCGTTACAATTACCTCCCTTATAGAGCTGATCTGAGGATTCCATGAGCTTGACTGTGATCCCCGTACTCAGGAAGCTGAGGTGGGTGGATCATAAGCCCAATGATAGCCTGGGATACACAGAGAGGCCCTCCCTGTCAGGAAAGGACAGAAGGGAGGGAGGGAGGGAGGGGGATGAAGGAGGGGAGGGAGGGGTGAAGGGGGATGAAGGAGGGAGGGATGAAGGGGGATGAAGGAAGGGAGGGAGGGATGAAGGGGGATGAAGGAGGGGAGGGAGGGGTGAAGGGGGATGAAGGAGGGAGGGAGGGGTGAAGGGGGATGAAGGAGGGGAGGGAGGGAAGAAGGGGGATGAAGGAAGGGAGGGAGGGATGAAGGGGGATGAAGGAGGGGAGGGAGGGATGAAGGGGGATGAAGGAGGGGAGGGAGGGATGAAGGGGGATGAAGGAGGGGAGGGAGGGGTGAAGGGGGATGAAGGAGGGGAAGGAGGGAGGTTTTCCTATCTTTCCCATCTCAAAAGCTAGAGTTTCCTGACCAGATAACTTTCTCCTCCCAGGACCCTTTTCCCGAGACTTGAAGCCAGCACCGGAAATCTATGAAAATCTAATAAAAAGTAAAGGCTACCCTGGAGAGTTCTCTCCAAGCTTCACAGAGCTGCAGAGGCATTTTGTGAAAAGCCGCCCCGTGAAACTGAAGAACCTCCTTCGGCTGGTGAAGTTCTGGTACCTGCAGGTGAGGGCTGGGAGAAGAGGGAGGGGTGGGTGGGCACAGCCCGGCATTTTTTTTTTTTTAAGAGTGGGAAAACAAACAAAAACGGGCTGGGATGTCGCTTGTTGGCAGGGAGCTTGCTTGGGATGCGTAAGGCCCTGGGTTCGGGTCCTCGGCACCACCAAGAGAGATGGAGTGGGGATGAGAAGAGTGGATGGGAGGCAGGATGCAGAGTGAATGAAACTGGGTAGATGGAGGCTGTTCACGACCTGCCGTGCACAGCACAATATCAGAGCCAGGCATTATTGTGGCGATGGGGTTTGTGTCTCGCTTAGAGACTCCTGCTTCCAGTGACACCTTCCCCAAAGGCAATTCAGGGCTTCCTGGTGAGGAAAAACAGGCATGCGGCATTTTGATAACCATAATAACAATAATAGAGACCATTATGAAATACTAATTATGTCCCAAGATCTAGGCTGCACACGCCACACGATTTCCCCCATTCAGTCTTTTTAGCAAATTCCTAACGGGAGATGAGAAAACTGAGCTGAGAGTAGAGCTGAGGTTTGAACAAGCATGCTCGACTCTGGAATTTGTCTTCTTCCACAGTGACAGGGACAGTTCTTCACAACAGCATTTCTTTCTGGTTATCTGAGTATTGCAAAGGGCTCATTATATAAAAAAAAAAATCTCTAATAATGCATAAGCAAGAAAGTGAAACTCACATGCAGTCTCATGTAACCAGTCACAATGCAGTGGCTGCCTTTCCTTGTTTTTTTTTTGTTTGTTTGTTTGTTTTGTTTTTCTGTATTCACACAGCTCACTCTCAAAAGACTAGGTAACTGGCATCATGCCATCCCACTGTGTTTCTGGTCCACCCTTTAAACAAACACACCTGCTGTTGACCTTTGGCACCGAATGTGAGGGCACCGCCTATTTCTGTCATCTGCACACTTTACTTTGTCGTTTCCTCGTCAACTTTAGACCTCATGAACTGAAGGTATTTACCATTCTTCCCATCTGTGCCGCAGATGTTTTCATCAATACCCCATTCACCTACTGGCTCTAACTGGGCCAACTTTATGAACAGAGTGAACTGGAGAGATAGTTCAGCCATCAAGAGCATGTACTGCTCTTGCACAAGACTCAAGTTCAATTCCCAACTCCCACACTGGGCAGCCCACAACTACCCTAACTCCAGCTACAGGGAATCTAATGCCCTCTTCTGGCCTCCAAAGGCACTGCACTCACATGCACATACTCGATCACTAACACACATTTACACATAATTTAGGGACATAATGATTTTTTTTTTGCAAATTGTGTGTGTGTGTACGTGCATGCATGCACTGGAGTGCACACATGTGTCTGTATATCCATGGGTATCTGTGTGTGTGAGTGTGTGAGTGTGTGTGTGTATAGGCCTCAGGTTGATGTCAGGAGTCTTCCTCAATCTCCTCCATATATACTAGGACAAGGTCTTTCTGTTGACCTTAGGCTTATCTACATGGCTGTCTAGCTAGCTTGCTCCATGGCGATCCTGTCTCTGCCTCCCAAGAACTGGGATTATAGGCATGCTACAATACCCACTCAGCATTTATATGGCTTCTGGGGATCTGAACTCTGGTCCTGACCTTTGTGTGGAAAACTGCACCCTCTCCCTGGCTCAGATTTCTGCACATGAATGTTCCTGACCCTCTATGATAAATTTTGGTTACTTATCTGAACCACCTCTCTCTCCATAGAAAAAAAATACATATATGGTTATCTGAATATTGCAATGGAGCCATCATAAAAATTCAAACAGCATAAAATACGTATTAAAAAGGTAAAATTTTTTGTGTGTATGCATGTGTGCATATCAGTGTGGCAATATGCTAACCCATGCTCATGAGGGCAACTCCAGCTGGACTCGTGTGTGTTTAATAGCCACCTAATTTTCTTATAATATTTTTAATATATACTTTAATCCATTTTTAACTTCTGTTTGAATATGGCATGACTTTGGCGACACCTTTATTTTCTTCCAAATGGCTAACAGGTTGTGCATCACATTTTGAATTTTGCACCCTTTTCTCACCGAACTAAAATACTACCTTTGTTAAAACTACTAAATCCACAAATCTAGTGGGAACTAACCCTGAGCACCCATTCTGTTGCACTTGACTGGTTTTCTTTTTAAGTTCAGAGGGATTGAACCCAGGACCTTGTGCATGCTAGAAAAGCACTCAACCTCGAAGCTATATCCCTAACCCTTGACTACTGTTCATTTTTATGCTCAAAACTGCTGTTTTTGTTACCAGGTAGAAAATGAGGACTGACACCCAAGGTTGGCCTGTGAGGTCCACAAGTGTGGCAAGCATCCCTCCCCCACCACACACACACACACAATACACATACAAGGCAAAAATCATTGAGAGCCCGGGCATGCTGCGCATGCATACCTGTAGTCCCAACACACAGGAGACTGAGGCAGAAGGACTGCAAGTTTCAGGCTAACCTGGGCTACACAGCAAGAGTCCGTCTCGAAATTAAAAATCACCTGGGTTTTACATAGAATCTACTACTGTCGTTTTGCTAATGGGCACGGCATCAAATTGTCTTCTAAAGACCTGACATTAAAACCACGGCTTAGTGCAGCTCTCTACTCTCATTGAGAAGACTTTCCCCCCAGGACACAGGTGCTATCACAGATTCATGACAAGTGACAGTGGAGTTACTCAGCCCCGTGTGGAACGTCTGAGGAAACACTGTGGAGAGGAGGCAGAAGGAGACTGAGCCAGAGGTCAGGGAGGGTGGCTAGGAAATAGTGTCTCCAGGATGTGACAGACTCCGGCGCTCACAGCAGCGTCAGCTGTCTGCATGAGCAAGATTAAGCCGGTCAGCATCCCAGCGTCAATGGGGGAGAGCCGAGAGCCGCTGGCTGTTGATGGCTGCTGGGAGAGGGAGAGTTCATTTTCTCCTCGGGGTGTGGCTCCTGACAGGTTGCCCATGCTCTGGTGGATGGCCCCACATCCATGCACATAGGGCCGCTCCAACTGGACTCCATGGGTTAAAAAAAAAAAAAAGTAGAAGGAGGAGGAAGATATGGGGGGCGAGAAGGTGAAAGGGGGTGAGGTGGCTATGATCAAAAGACATTGCATACAGGTATGGGATTCCCCAAGGACACATAAATAAAATAAAATAAATCTAAAGACTGCCATAAATTCATAATTAATTTCGGAGGAATTAAACATTTGATGCCATTCTTTCTTTTTATTCCATTCAGTTTATTCTGTTCTGAGCTGTCTGTGTGTTTTAGATTTTCCCAGTTATTCCCTGTATCTGCTCCGCCACATTGCCTCCTCCATTCTAACTGAAAAGCACAGGCTGATGTGCAGATGGTCCACGGGAGACCCTAGACCAAAAGCCCACCCAGAGCCACCAGTTCATGGCTCTGTCACAGGAAGCAATGGAGGAACCTGAAAGTTTTTAGAGCATCAAGAACATATTCTCTCTCTCTCTCTCTCTCTCTCTCTCTCTCTCTCTCTCTCTCTCTCTCTCCCTCCTTCCCTCCCCCTCTCTTTCCCCACCCTTCCTTCCCTTTCCTTCTCCCCCACCCCCTTTCTCCAGTACCTGAGAAGTAAATATAGAAGAGCAGCATTACCCCCAAAATATTCGCTGGAGCTTCTGACCATCTACGCCTGGGAAACGGGTACAGAGAGCAGTGAAAACTTCAATTTGGATGAAGGGTTTGTAGCCGTGATGGAGCTCCTCAGAGACTACCAAGACATCTGCGTATACTGGACCAAGTACTACAATTTCCAAAACGAGGTCGTCGGAAACTTTCTCAAACAAGAGCTGAAAAGGGACCGGTAAGTACCATCAACCATAGCATTTACGGCTTTAGGGAATGGAAACCCTGCCTGAAGCAGCTTGGAAAAATAAAGGGACTCACGTGGCTTTTGTGGTTGAAAACATTCAGAGGTAAACCTGAAGCATGGCTGTGTCCCCAAGGTTTCTTTCTGTGAGTTGTTCAGCCCTGCCCTTCCCGGGGCTTCACTGTCAAGTTCCGGTTTATCCCTTCAAGGTTACAGCGGCTCTAGCCTTCTCTCGACGCCTGCTTTCCGGTACAAGAAAGGGCATGTCCAGCAAGATCTCAGAGATCCAGTCTCTCGAGCTTTCTTAGGCTCCACTCCTAACGAAGGGCTTTACTTGCAGGCATTGCTCTGACCCAAAGGTGCCTACCACCCCTGTCCTGGACATTCTGAAGAATGCTCTGTTGGCCATACTTTCTGTTACAAATGAGTGAGTTAATAAGAAGTATGTGGTAGCAGAAGCAAAAGAAAACAATAGCAAGTAGCAGGTAGGGAGAAGCAGCTGATAGCAGATTATCATCCAATCAAATCAGGTGCTCACAGATCCAGCAGAGACCACTGGAGTAGCCTGAGCGGGAGAGCGAACAAAAGGAACAGCATGGAACTGCTTACAACACCCTGCAGAGGTCACCCAGGGACGTGGAGGGGTCATCCGGAGTTCCCAACTGATCTTTCTCTCCACCGATGAGCTTCCCATGTCTGACCCATGGCTGAACTTCCAGCCCTCTGTCCCCTCCGTAGCATGGGATAAACAACAGTAGCCTCCGGGTGGAAACGGGTGTGTCCGTCCATCCGTGTGTGTGTGTGTGTGTGTGTGTGTGTGTGTGTGTGTGTGTGTGTGTGTGTGTCCCGCTGCTGTTCTCCAGGTTCAAGAGTAAAAGCATTTTGTTGTTGTTAATGCTTCTCTTCCATTTTCCCATTACGGGGCAAGGCGGCAGGTGGGAGGGACAACCAGACCCGAGACAGAGAGTCTCGGAAGAACACTTCAACACACATGTTTGGCTTTAAAACTGTGGGGGTTGTGGCTCCAGAGCCAGCTTTTTAGTGAGCTTAAACATCACGTGACAACTTACCATTGTAATGTGCTTTATGATTGATTCCACAGACATGAGTGCCAGAGGCCAGTATCCTGACTGTAACAGGGATCTGCTTCCATTCTCTCCCCCAGGCCCATCATCCTAGACCCCGCGGACCCCACCAACAACTTAGGAAGTAAAAGCGGGTGGGACCTGGTGGCCAAAGAAGCTTCTATCTGCCTGCGACAGGCCTGTTGCTGGACTGAAGACCCCAGCGGGGGCTGGGATGTACCGGTACAGTATCATAGTCAGAACGTGTGTTAACACTCACATGGAGTACCTGCAGCTCTTCCCTCAGCACCCATAAGCCCCAGAACAGGCGACATATTGCAGCCCAATTCTCATCTACAGACGTCTCGGCCTCAGGCCTTTCCCCTGTAAGATGGGCAGACAATCTGCCCCACACTGTACTCACTACAGAGATAAAGAGTTTACTCACATCTGTCTATCCCATTGGCTCTCTCTAGAGTTATATTTCCCCCTTTGGTGGGTCATCAAAGTATGGTTTCTTGCTACATAAATAGTAAATGTATTAAGTTTTTTAAAAAAAAAAAAAAAAACTAAGGCTTGCCGGGCGGTGGTGATGCACGCCTTTAGTCCCAGCACTCGGGAGGCAGAGCCAGGCGAATCTCTGTGAGTTCGAGGCCAGCCTGGTCTACAGAGCAAGATCCAGGACAGGCACCAAAACTATACAGAAAAACCCTGTCTCAGAAGAAAAAAAAAAAACAAACAAACCAAGGCCCCTACAACCCACTGCAGACAACAGACCGGCCTCGTAGCCTTCCTGTGGACGGCCTTTCCCCCTTGGCCACGGCTGTCTTGGATCTGAGCACTAAGTCCGGATCCAACGCTTGGACACAAGGATTGGACTTAGGGGTTCCCTGGGGAACCTGTCTCCCCGACCTGCTAAGCCCACATAAATCCTGTCCCTTGAACCACGTTTTATCTTCTGTGGGAGAATTCAGAATCTGTCCTCAAAGGTGGCCCACAGCGAGTGAGGCAAGGCAGACAGACAGGGTCTGACAGGGACCTGCCACCTGGCCATCGGGTCCCAGTGGCTGAGAATGTCCCCCAAACCAAGGGACCCTTGAGAAGCAAGAAAAACGAAACAAAAATCACCAGCTTAACTCTCCCTCCATCTCAACTCCCAGTTTCTCAGAAATCCCGTCTCCCAGGCGTCCACTTGCCCCCACTTACCTCCCTTCTGTAAGTAGGGCCTACGTTCCGTGTGTGCCCACGACGCCATGTGTTCTCACCTAAGTTATTTTTCAATGGGTTAGTCCTTTACTGAATTATCTAACAGACAATTCCCTAGCCCCACATACATACAGATCCAAAAGGCGTCACCCTAGGACACAGAGTCCAAATCAGGACGCTTTTGAGCATGACATGGGGTAATGTCGATTACGCCCGCTCAAGGGGCTTATGCTAGGATCGTGCTAAACAAATATGAGCATGAAACCTGTTTCTGATACTTCTCTCTGGCTGTGATAAAACACCACGGGCAAGGCAACTTATAAAAGGGAGTGTTCGTTTGCACTTACAGGTGCACAGGGGTGAGTCCTCCATCATGGCAGGGACGTGTGGCAGCAGGCAGGCACGGGGTTGGAGCGCACATCTTCAATGATAAGCAGGAGACCAAAACAGTAAACAGTGAATGCTGGGGGCTTTTGAAACCCTAAAACCTGCCCCCAGTGATATACCAGTACTCCCCTGCCCCCCACTGCCCCAGCAGGGCCACACCCTCTAAGTCTTTTCAAACAGTTCCACCAACCAAGAGCCAGATGTTCAAATGCCCAAGACTGTGAGGGATATCTCATTCAATCAACCAGGAAACCATCCCAGATGCAAGCCATCTCTTCAGCAAATATGTCAGCAGTATTCTAGGAAGTGTTTTAATGTCTAGAACCAGTACCCTGTGGCAGACTTTTGCTGGAACAGTGGTCACCCTTGAACAACCATCCTAAGGCCGGGCACAAACATTCAGTTACCTCACTGTAATTCCCAGGCTTCCATAAACACGACACTGTTGTGTGCCCATGGTGGGTGAAGGTTCTGCATAGCTCCACACAGGAAGAGTATTATTTAGACACCAGTTGTTGCTCCAGTTTGGGTAAGTTGAGGAACACAGTGTGACTTAGTGGTACTCTAAGCCTAGGGTGGCCAAGTAGCTTTCCTGTTGCCCCATATAATTACTCAGCATCTCCCGGTTTGTCTCTATCAGGAGCTAGAAGAGAGAACCTCTGTAGACAGTAGACAGTTCTTACCACACAGATGCCCTTTCTCTTTCTTACCTCTCTCACAGCGAGCAAGGGACGTTCAGGTAATGGTGAAACAGACAGGAAGAGAAACATGGAGCCTCTGGGCAGACCCCTACAGCCCCATCAGGAAGATGAAGGCAGAGATCAAGAGAAAAAACAACATCTTTGGGGATCTACGCATCTCCTTCCAGGAGCCTCAAGGAGATAGGCAACTGCTCAGTAGCCAGAAGACCCTATCAGAATATGGAATATTCTCTAAGGTGACCATCCGGGTGCTGGAGACCTTTCCTCCTGAGATCCAGGTCTTTGTGAAGGATTCCAGTGGCCAGAGCAAGCCTTACGCCATTGACCCTGATGCTACCATCTATGACCTGAAGACGAAAATTGAAGCTGCTGTAGGGCTTTATACAGAGGATCAGGTACTGATGTTGGAGGATGAGGCGCTGGAAGATAATTACAGCCTTGCAGAGCTACAGATCAAAGACTGTGACACCATCCAGCTCAGAAGGGTGTTTTCCCATACATACAGAATGAAGTTCAAGTCTCTTTGCTTAATAGCCAGTCTTTAATATCATCAAGTTGAGCCCTACTTCCTTCTCCTTCCTGACTCAAAACACACGGGTCTCCTGAATACTCAAAACTCACACCAATGCTGAGTCATGCCTCCATCACTTTGAGTCAGCTATCCTTTCTCCCTGACCCATGTTTTCATCTTTCAAGATTCAGACTTGTAAGTCACTGAATCTCAAAGTACAGACCTCAGATTGACAAACTTGCCGTCACTCCAGGAGCCCGTTAGAAAGGAATATTAACCCGAGCCAGATAATCCACTGAGAATCAGTATTCAGTGTCATAACAAACCCTCCAAGTTATTCTGATGCACGCTCAAGTTTGAAAACGACTACTATACAGCCCATGCAGCTGGCCAAGTCATCTTATGCTCATATTCTCTCTCTTCGTCCACAGTAGACTTCTGTGAAAGGAAGTGGGATATTAATCACGTTGCTTTGTTAGCTCTATCTCTCTAGTCTACTGAGACTTGATTTTTTTTTTGAATGCCTTATGCCTTGGCCCTTGTGGTCTAGAATAGTACCAATTCAGTGTAAATGTTTGACATGTGCCTGCTGAATGAATAAATGAACCAAAGAATGACGCTGAATCCTTCAACATTGCCTTCATCGTGTCTGACGCCATTTTAGAGTCCACACGGTTTCAAGTGCCCTTAGCCCACATGTCATTCTCTGAAGATGCACCCAAGTGACCTTTACAAACCCCATACTGGTGGGTAGACACGGTCTCCCTCTGTCCAAATCCTCTTGGACCAAAGGTGATGAGGGTAGACTCCATCCACTGGCTACTCCCTAGCCCATCGTATATTTCAATCTTGGGAAGTAGGGCCTGGTACAGTAAAGGATTGTACAGTCAGGATTGAAAGAAGCTAAACAGTTAAGAACAGATCCACCCAAGCCCTTACTTAAATACAGAAAGAGAGCCACTCACCCACAGAATAGAGCCCCACACAGCAAGAGACGAAAGCCAAAGCCCTCATTCACGCCCAGGGAGAGGCTACATGAGCGGTTTGTCCCTCCTTTCTCCCAAATTCTCTTTTTCATCATCCTTATGTCACTGAATAAACCCAAGTGGGGCATCTTTTCTGCCCTGAGACCTCTGTGTTAGCAGCTCAATTCAGTTCACTTATCTGTCCCTCAACACATGCAGAATCCCATGCACTGGCGTGGCCTTTATACCAAGAGTCTCCACAGACAAGAGTCTCCGCAGACAATATCGTTTGACTGTCTTTACAGCTGCCTTGAAGTTGGATGGACCTGTAGGAATAACAATCCTTCTACATTTTACAGATGGTGGGGGGGGGAAATCTTAAAATATAAGAAATTAGCCAGGAGGTGGGGATGCATGCCTATAAACCCAGTACTCTGGAGGCAGAGACAGGTAGATCTCTGAGTTCGAAGCCAGCCTGGTCTACAGAGTGAGTTCCAGGACGACACAGAGAAACCCTGTCTCAAAGACAGACAGACAGACAGACAGAATATAGGAGATTATGTTTACACAGAAGCTGAGAAAGAGGAACCAGGAAAGGCTTTTGGGGAACATCCAGGCTCTCCCATGTCTCCTGGAGGATACTTTTCTCTCCTACCTGGCCTCCCTCCACAGTAGGCACATGCCAGGAAGTCTGGCTTCATCATCCTGCTAGCCTTCTCCAATTCTCAGTAATCCTGTTGACACCAATGACTCTACCCTCTGGCCTTAGCAGATTGGCGAGGGATGATCACCTGACCCAAGATAGACTCAGCCCCTTGCCTAGGCTAAGGCAATCAAACTACGAATTCTACAGACTGGGGACTCTTATTTCTTGAGACTTTCAGTGTGCTAGGACCAGTACAGATCACATGCCATTTATTTCATTACCACAACAGGCTTAGATTGGTAATCAATCACCCTGTTTGACAATCAAGAGAACAGAAATGCAAGTGTTCTAACTGCTAGTAGAACTGACACACCAGTGTGTGTGTCTGTTCAGAGACAGTGGCCATCACCACCGCACACTCCTACTGTCCTAGAGGACCTCAGTCCGCTCTCCCTCCCTGACCCCTGTGTCCCTCCTCCAGTCACCCGCATCCTGCAAACTGGACCTCTCCTCTCAATCCTGACATGCATCATTCCTCCTGCCCAGGGTGAAGGCTTGGAGAGATGGATCAGTGGTTCTCACAGGGAACCCGAGTTTGATTCCCAGCACCCAGCATTTGCAGTTCACAGCTGCAACTCCAGGTAACCCAGGACACACTTCCAAATGCTTCCAATGGTGGTTACACACACAGAATACACACACACACACACACACACACACACACACACACACACACACACACAGAATACACATACACACACACAGAGAATATACATACACACACAAAGCATATGCACACAGAGAATACACACACACACAGAGCATACACACACACACAGCATACATACAGCCTGCACACACATGCACAGCATACACACACACACACACACACACACACACACACACACACACCTCTATGTACATCACAGACCATTTTTAAAAATTATTAAATAAGCCGGGCGGTGGTGGCGCACGCCTTTAATCCCAGCACTCGGGAGGCAGAGCCAGGCGGATCTCTGTGAGTTCGAGGCCAGCCTGGTCTCCAAAGCGAGTTCCAGGAAAGGCGCAAAGCTACACAGAGAAACCCTGTCTCGAAAAACCAAAAAAAAAAAAAAAAAAAAAAATTATTAAATAGAGCAACCATCAGTTGTCGTCAGTTACTTTCCTTTCTGCTCCAGGTTCCCTTCATATCCTAGATCGGTCGAAGAAGGGACTCTACAGTCCATAGAAGGGAGAAATCGTCCACTCTGATGTTGACGACTCCCTTACTTTTAGTTCTATGCTGGAACCAAAGCGACAAAAACAGAGAAAAAAAAAAATGTAACAGCGGTTCCTGTTTTCTCTCAATAACCCTCCTACCTTTCCTCGCTGGTAACAGAATTTTAAGCTAGATACATTGTTAAAGGCTAAAAACTATATTTTCCTGTCTTCCTTGTGACTGAGTCTAACCATGTAAATAAGTTCTAGCCAGTGGAGTTCACTGTATTTTATGCATACATTTGCATGTTTACCTTTAAATTTACATTTGTCTGTTGGGCTCAGAATTCCCAGAAGATGAAGAATCCCTCCTGTTTTGCTTGTTTGTCTTTTTTTTTTTCCGAGGAGGGGGAGTATGTTACATGTGTGTCACATGATGTGCAAGAGTATGAGGATGTGTTTGTGCACCTGTTTGTGCAAGTGGGTGCAGACACTGGAATGCCGTGACTTCCATGGAAAGGTCAGAGGGCAACCTTGCAGAGTCAGTCCTCACCTCTCCACTTTGTTTTGGAGACAGGAGCTCCTCCCCACGGCACAAGCCGGGCTAGTTGAGCTGTGGGCTTCTGGAGAGTGTCCTGTCTCCATGTCCCTCTCTAGGTATAGGCGCTCTAGGATGATAGACCCTTGCGTTACTACATTCATCTTTTGCATGGGTTCTAGGATCTGAACTTGGGTCCCCTGTCAACACTTACACCCCCTGAGCCACCCTCAGAGTCCCATCTCCTGCCTCATGTTGCGAGAAGAGGATGGAGAAACATTTACTGCAAGACACGGACAAAACACTTCTGTGAAAGTCTCTGGAGTTGGGGAGGCCTTGGGGCGATGCTACTTCCTTCCAAGGTGCTCCCGCAATCCCAAGGGGAAAAAAAGAGCGAAGTCCACAGGCCCAGGGGCCTCGCTGCTCTGTCCATGTGTGTGGAGAGAAAGTGTGAGGATCTTCAGGGAAGAAGTGGAGAGTGCTGAGGACTTGTGGGAGCCTGTGGAAATCAGAGCTGGAACGAGTCTGGAACCCAGGAGGAACCCGCCGACTTTATCTCCAAGGAGAAATTAGACAAACACTGAGATTTCCAGGAGGAAGGACCTCAAACGATGGGGCCTTCCATTTCCTCTACACCCCAGGGTCAGTTCCTTTTCGCTCCAGCCAGGGCCCCACACCCTCATGGATGCCTCAGTTTCCTGTGTCACTGTCCACTGGTTCCTTTAAGAAGCTGTATTATTCAGGGTTCCCTAAAGGAACAGAGTGGAAAGGCTGCAAACAGATTGAAAGGGGATTGATTAGATTGGCTTACAGGCCTTGGTCCAGCTCATCCAACAACGGCTGCCTCCCACTGGAGAGGCCAAGAATCCAGGAGTGGTTCAGTCCACAAGGCTGGCGGTCTCTGCAGTCCAAGTCTGTTGACAAAGGCCTGGAGGATCCCGCACGGCTGCCAGTCTTCAGTCTATGTTGGAATCCCAAAAATATTGGTTCTAATATCAATATGGAATGTCACAGCAACAGGATGGATGGACTTCCCATTGAGAGTGAGGGCAAGCGGGCAGAAAGCAGAGTCCTTCCTCCATGTCCTTCTATCTGGGCTACCAGAAGGTGCCTCTCACATTTTGATTGGGTCTTCCCTATTCAAATGACCTGACCAAAAAATAATAATAGTAACAATCCCTCCCAAGGGTGCCCAGTGGCTTGCCTTTTGGTTGATTCTCCATCCAGTCAGGTTGACCACTAAGCTCATCCATCTCAGGATCCTTCAGGTCACAAGCGACAGATGCATCAATGAATGTAGTTTGAGCTAAACTGAGTCAAGACCAGGTGGCGGCTCACATCTGCAACCCCAGGACTCAGGAGTCCGAGGCAGGAAGATTACTGTCTGGTTGGAGCCTCCAGCGGCCCCCTCCCCACTCCGCACAGTCTGGAAAGCCCCATTCCTGTCTCTTTCCAAACCCCGCCCACTCAGAGAGCCTGGGAGGACAGGTGCCAAAAGCCCAGCTCGGCATTCTTGGCAACTACCACGACTTCCTCCCCTGTTGCCGCCAGCCGCCCGAGTCACGGCCTAGGCGCTCAGCTTTTGACCATACTTGGGCACAAACCCAGCTTGTGGCGGACATGTCATCGGCCCTCCCCTGCCATCTATAAAACTTTCCTCCCTGGCCCCGGTGCTCGACTTCTCTGGCCTCCATCTCTGGGACCGGAGAACCCGCCCACAAGGTGCTATTTCAAGTCGGCTTGATCAAGCTTTCTGTGGCAGCAGAGAAGCTTATTATGGGGGTAGAGGTGCAGAAAACCTATTGATTACCATGAGCTTCAAGAACCGTCTGGGATATACAGTAAGTTCCAGGCCAGCCTAGAGAGCAAAACTCTGTCTTTAAAAGAGAGAGAGAGAGAGAGAGAGAGAGAGAGAGAGAGAGTGTTCAGATGTGGTGACACATGCCTTTAATGCCAGCATGTGGGAGGCAGAGGCAGGTGGATCTCTGAGTTTGAGGCCAGCCTGGTCTACAGAGTGAGTTCCAGGACAGCCAGGGTTACACAGAGAAAATCCTGTGGTGGAGGGGGTAAGTAATTAACCCTGGGTGTAGCTGGATGATGTTAGCCAGGATTCTCCAGAGAAACAGGACTAATGAAAAGGAGATAGAGAGAGGAGAGAGAGAGAGAGAGAGAGAGAGAGAGAGAGAGAGAGAGAGAGAGAGAGATGTTTGCTATCTGGGCATCTTATAGTTCAGATAAACTGACTCTTAAAATCAACTGTCATGTGGATAC